AAAAAAGATTTACCCTTCCTCCTCTTTTAAACACTCTATCACAGTCAGGCACTGGTGACTCATGCCTATAATTGTAGCTACTCAGGAGGCTGAGATCTGAGGATTGCAGTTTAAAGCCAGCCCAGGCTGGAAAGTCCATGAGACCCTTATCTCCAAAAAAACCACTCAGAAAATTGGAAGTGGAGCTATGACTCAAGTGGTAGAGTGTTCGCCTTGAGCTGAAGAGCTCAGGGACAGTGCCCAGGCCCTGAGTTCAAGCCCAAGACTGGCAATAAATAAATAAATATATATAAAAAAGCAGATGGTATCATATCAATACATGCATTCCTCAAACACCTATAGTTAGCATTGCAATAGTAATATCAGCTTTCAAAAACAGCTTTTATTCACTAATCATGAAAATACTTGCACATTTTTAAAAAATCAAAACTTGCTGGGAGCTGGTGGTTCACACCTGTAATTCTAGCTACTCAAGAGAGGCTGAGATCTGAGGATTGTGGTTTAAAGCCAGCCTGGGCAGAAAAGTCCATGAGACTCCTTATCTCCAATTAACCACCAGAAAACCAGAAGTGGCACTGTGGCTCAAAGTGGTAGAGTGCTAGCCTTGAGCAAAGGAGCTCAGGGACAGCATGCCCCATAATAAACTTACACCCCCCCCCGCCCCCCAAAAAAGGACTGTGAGCCAGGCATGGAGGCTTGCGCCTATAAACACTAGGATGAGGATAGTGATTCAAAGCCAGCTTCAGTTTAAAAAAAAGTCTGTGAGACTCCCTTTGCAAAATAACTTGCAAAAAGCAGAGCTAGAGGTGTGACAAGTGGCAGCCATGAGCAAGCCAGCCCAGCGAAGTGTGAGGCCTCAATTTCAAACCCCAGTACTAACAAAACAACAACAACAAATGCAAATAAACAAATGTGAACACTATGGCTCTTGAGACATATTTACACATATTTCCTAAGTCAGCTGCTAACCTCAGCAGTATAGCTTTTGATGCTGGGATCTCAGATCAGCCCATGCTAGTCTAGAACTTGTGGGCTAAAGCTATCCTCCTCTTCAGCCTGGGTAGCTGGGACTACAGGTATGGACTGGAGCACATAGCTTCATTATCATTTTTTTTTTTGGGGGGGGGGGGGGGGTTGCTGGGAATTGAACTCCAGGCTCTAGCATGCTAGATACAGCCTGCAGCAAAACTTCTAAGGTGGGTATTAAGCTCATTTCTCATCAGCACCCTAAGTTATCTGTTTATGTTTTGAGCTTCTTTCTCTTACGTTTACTATGGAAATGGGAGATCTGAAAGCTGCATGCTCATACGTAACCACTTACTGGTAATGTGTGAAGCCTAAGGTAGGTAGATCTGAGCGCTCCTTGGCAAAGTCAGCGAGTCGAGAGATCACTCTGGCAAGCTACAGGCCAACACCACAGGGTAGAAAGAGGTGAATTCATGAGTCCATTACATAATGACAGATCAAACTTTCAGGCAATATTACATGAAATGAGCCCTCTATAGCTCATGGAATGCAGCATCCTTATCCTTTCTCTTTGTATCTGCAGGTGTCCTGATCAGGGTTCATACCAATCAACATTCAAAAATGGATTCAACTACTGAAACTACTAAGACCATTGCAGAATAACAGGACAAAGTCATAATCCTGACACATAAATTCTTGCAACATGTTTCTGGTTGCACTTCCTTTATTTAAAAGGCTATGTTTTGCCAAGCACCAGTGGCCCATTCATATATAGAAGGCTGAAATCTGGAGGAACACAATTCCAGGCTAGCCCAAGTAAAAAAGTTTGCTAGACTTCTATCTCCAAAATAACCAGCAAAGGGCTTGTTAGAGCACCAGTTGTGAATGAGAAAGCTAAAAGAGGCCCTGAGTTCAAGCTCCAGTACTAGCATGAAAGACTGCAAGCATGGCTCAGGTGAGAGAATACCAATCAGCCTTGTAAGAATGAGGCTCTCTGTTCAACCCTACACCATCAAAAAGTAAATAGTAAAAGGCTATGTTTTAAAAAGAATTCACTACTATATTACCCCAAAAAAGAAACTATTTTTTCCACAAATTACATAGTCATGTTGAATAAATGATTATGTAGATTATATAGTCTGATGTTGCTGATTAAGTCATAACTGGAGACCCATCTCTTAACTACAGGGACTGGAAGCTGGTATCAAACTTATGCCAAACTCTTACCTTGGGCAAAAGTAGGTCAAACGCATTTCTAAGAATGATCAGGTCCTGCAAAGGAAAATGTAATGGCCATGAACAGCTCTGTCAAACCTTGTTATTATACAATACTTTCTGGCCATCACAATTGGGTCACACCTCAGCAAGCAGCCTATCTCATTCCTAACAACCCAGAAATGCTAATAGAGGATGTTTTCTAATGATGATTTCAAAAGCACAGTAAAGTATGCTGTGGTATCTAAAGTGATTGAAAATGTTAAGCTGGCACCAGTAGTTTATACCTGTAATCTTAACCACTCAGAAGGCCGAGATCTGAGGATTGGGGTTTGAAGCCAGCCAACCCAGGCAGAAAAGTCCCCCTGAGCTTCTTGTCTCCAATTAACTACTCAAAAACTGGAAGTGGAGCTGTGGCTCAAAGTGGTAGAGTGCTAGTCTTGAGTGAAAAAGCTCAGGGTCAGTATCCAGGCTCTGAATTCTAGCCCATCGACAGACCAAAAAAAAAAGTGCAATGCCACAAGGCTTCCATCTTTCCAGAAAGGAGCAGCTGAGTCTCTGAGAAACTTCCATTAGTTTCTTCCTCCTTTTTATTCTCATCTATAGTTGTTAATAAGGGAAGGCATGACTCAGAACAAGGGTTAAAAAAGTTGAAACCATTGTTTTGTTTTGTTTTTAAAAAAAACTCTGTCCCTCACCCCCAATGTCTATTAGACACTTATTTCCAATTAGTCACCAAAAAGCTTGAAGTGGAGCTATGGTTCAAGTGGTAGAGTGCTAGCCTAGTGCAAAAAAGCTCAGTGATAGCACCCAAGCCTTGAGTTCAAGCCCCAGGACTGGCACAAAAAATGAATAAAATATAAATGAAAATATGTATCTTATGGTATTTGTGAAAAATAAATCAACACAGTATAAATGTATTCATTGTACAGGAAATAAATACACAGTATCAGAGCCATCTGGTAAACTTTCAGGAAAATGCTTGCTATTACTCTTCCATGTTTTGCACTAATCAAAAAGTTCATTTGAGGGGCTGGGAAGATGGCTCAGTGGTAGAGTGCTTGCCTTGCATGCCTGAGGCCCTGGATTCGATTCCCCAGCACCACATAAGCAAAAAGAAAAAAAAAAAAGCCGGAGGTGGCGCTGTGGCTCAAGTGGTAGAACGCTAGCCTTGAGCTGAAGAGCTGAGAGACAGCGCCCAGGCCCAGAGTTCAGGCCCGACGACCAGACCCAAAAAGTTCATTTGACAATAATAAATATAATTCATCTTTCCATTCAGAAGCCATAGCCAAGTTATAAAGGCCACTGGAAAGAAAAATACATTAGGAAATTTAAATGAATTTATAAATGTATGATAAAGATTGAGTCCTAATATAAACAACACAAGATCCTACTGTATTGTCTCCAACATAACAGGAGGTAGCACCAAGGTGAATAATGCCTGCGGCTTTTGGACAGCAGTGGCCAAAGGTGTGCACATGAGCCATGACATCATGTCGCAACTGTTTCTCTTCTTCGGCTGCCATCTTGAAGTCGATGTTGTCCAGGTTTGCCTTCATCTCCTGGATTTGTTCATCTGTGATAGGCAAACCCAATGTCTGCAGAATAAGTAAAATAAAGCCAAAAGTCTATGTTGCAATTGTATGACGTGACAGAAAAAAAAAATGTTACCCTGAGTACCCAAGTGGTCAAATCAATTAAAATTTCAGCAACCAGGCTCAAAGTACAGTGTGTCTACGTGTATGGGGTTAGGAGAAAGGTGAGGAATCAAGGTAAATTATATTCTAAGTGAATGGTGGTGTGTCTATCGGGACTGTGACTGGTCCTGTCTCGCTAACTCCTCTTGTCTTGCTGCTTCCCATATCTAATCCCTGAGCTCAAGGGTCATCTATTCAGGGATCTTCTGACATCACTGTAAAACACTCCGTGTCACTCTACTCCTTTAGCCTGGTTTTATTTAGAGCATTCATCACCACCTGATATTTGTACATATTCACCTACCTATCCCCCTGGAAAGTACACTCTGTGAGAGGAGACCTTTACTGTACTTATTATTTAATCTCTAGTGGTTGGCACAGAATGCCCCAAAGGGTGACAGTTTTACAACTGACCTAGATGAATGCACTCTGAAAAACTAAAATTAAGAATTCTGTAAAGGTCTGTCATCCCAGAACTCTAGAGCGCCAGACAAGAGGAACCTAAGGTCAAGGCCACTCTGAGCTGCAGAGACCCTACGGATGTGCATCAGTGCATCTGTGTGTCTGTCTGTCTGACACACACACACACGCACACGCACGCACGCACGCACACGCACGCACACACACGCACGCACACACACGCACACGCACGCACACGCACACACGCACACACACGCACGCACACACACACGCACACGCACGCACACACACACACACACACACACACACACACACACGCACACGCACACACACGTGCAGGTAGTGGAGCCCGAACCAGCAGCTCGACCCGGGGCGCCCCGCCGCCCGCCCTCTGCCCCGCACGCGGGCGCCCGCCTCTCATTCCGTTACCTGCTCGGCCTCCGCCAGCCACAGCCACAGCTGCCGCCACGTCCGGAACTTGTACCTGTCGCTAAACACGAAGCACATCTCCGGGCTGGCATAGCGGGAGGAGAGCGGGGAGCGGTAGCCGTCGGGCCCGCAGACGTCGCCACCAGCCGCCATCCCGGGAGGCGACGAGGGTCGTGAGGGCGGAAGCGGAAGGGCAGATGTGGGGTGGGGCGGGACTAGGCTGCGGAAGTCCCGCCCCCTCGAGGTTCACGGTGCCGCCTACGCCACCCCAGGGCTTTGGAGGCTGAAGCTGGGACACTGCTGAGCTCTGAGCTAGAGGGAGACCTTGTCTATTAAACAACAACAACAACAACAAAACCCACCAAGCCAAAATGCAAATTCAGCAATTCAGCCATGTCTGGAACACTTAGGAGGCCTGCAACGAGAGAACTTAACTTCCGACTCCTTTCTTGGGCCCACAAGTTAAAAACTCAGGCATCTCTGCCTTCACTTTTGCATGTCTCCTTTGCCTCGGAGCCATCCTTTCCTGCATTCACCAGGGATCCTGGTGAGACCGAACTGACCGACTGTATCAGGGGCTAGCCTGACTCGCCTGACCAATCCGAGGTAATGATCAGACCACCGCTTACTTATGCCTCTCCAAGCGTTCCGCCTCAGGCCTTACCCTGAAGATGCTCTTTCCTTTTCCACTGCTATGTCCCACATTATATCAATCTCCTTTCTCTGACCTTCAGTATCTTAAATTGACATAGCTGGGAAGGTGGCTCAGTGGTAGAGCGCTTGCCTTGCATGCCTGAGGCCCTGGGTTCGAATCCTCAGCACCACATAAGAAAAAAAGCCGGGAGTGGCACTGTGGCTCAAGTGGTAGAGCCCTAGCCTTGAGCTGAAGAGCTGAGGGACAGCGCCCAGGCCCAGAGTTCAGGCCCCACGACCGGACCCCCCCCCCCAAAAAAAAATTGACATATTAGGATTAGGACTTTTCCCCAAAAAACTCAGATAACATGCCCTATATGTTCCTATGGCTAATTATATGGCCAACTACTCCACCTCATTTCTACATTGCAGTTCTGGGGAGAAATACCAAGAAAGGGTAGCATTTAATACTTTTCTAGTGAGCCCCTTGAGTCAAACTACAGTAGAAATAGGTTTCATCCATAGCTTTCCACGTGAGTGACTTGCTCAGTCACCTAGCCAGTAAGCAGTCATCTGCAAAGGCAACCAGTTCTTTGGCCTTCCAGTCCTCTCCCTTGCCTCTGCTTAACCTTGCTTTCTGTGACCTTTATCCCCTGAAAATAGGATTTCTGCCTCCACTCCTCCCTGCCTTTTCATTTAAGGATTTTACTCCTTCACTTGTTTCATCTGGAATCCTTAACCTCCCCATTGCAACTTCTCTTCTGTGTGTGTGTGTGTTTAGCATAGGGCCTTCTCCTTATAGAATTAGCTTCACTTGCCCTGGTATTTTTGTAATATTCCCCTTTCCTGGCTGTCTTCTCACCAACCATTCCTGGCATTGTTATGTCTTAAGTTCTGTTACTTGGCAGGTTATTTCATCTTTTGGTTTCACGCACCTGTAAAGTGTAGTTGATGACCCCATGGAGTAGAGTCAGGTATGATGGCATACCTACCTCCTTACCTGAGACTCTGAGGGCAGTTTGTCTCTACCCTGCTTAAGTTCTTAGAACTGCCATGTTCCTCTTCCTCCTAATAACACTCACTGATCCCCAATATCCTTGCCTAGTAGTCCAATCAAAAGCCCCATAAAACATTTGTTTTCCCACCTCCGCATAAAGAAATACCCTGTCTAGCCAGGTGCTGGTGGCTTACACCTATAATCCTAGCTACTCAGGAGGCTGAGATCTGAGGATCAAGGTTCAAAGCTAGCCCAAGCAGGAAAGTCTGTGAAACTCTTATCTCCAATAAAGCCCTAGAAAACTGGAAGTGGCGCTGTGGTTCAAGTGGTAGAGCACTCTCCTTGAGCTGAAGAGCTGAGGGATAGTGTCCAAGCCCTGAGTTTAAAAAAAAAAAAAAAAAAAGAACTACTATCCTGTCTGTGGAGGGTCAGGGACCAAAACACAGGTAGCAAACCTTCCCACTGTACATCTTAATGGCACTTTGATTTTTGCAACAAATCGCTTTTTTTCTTTTTCCTGTACTTATTCATCACTCTTAAGTCCTTAGCATTTGGACAATCTTCCTCCTTCCTGACCACTGCTTGTCCTCCCTCCCCCCACTTGCTTTTGGAAGAGTGGTTCCTCCCTTGGGGAAGCACAGGCACAGCTGGGAGGCTTACCTTCTGCATTCTGTCCGAGGGTCCCCTTGAAGCAGCACTGAAGGTCACCCAGACACTTCCATATAGCTGTTTCTGTTACCTAAAGCAACACTTAAGATGGGAATTTTACTTTTCCCAATTTGTTTTTGTGGCTCAATTCACTGGACAGACATGCTTTTTTCTATTCCGGATGTAACCCCTGCAGCCCACTGGGATGATTCATTCTACAATATCTACACTGAAGTGTAATAGGCACTAGGATGCACTGGGTTGGAGTAGAGAGGTGAGACCAGGAGCAAGTGGCTTTGGGGAATTCAATAGAACTGAAATGCTTGTTGAAAATCTGTATTTTACTCTAAGCAGTGGGGAACCCTACCCCCGTGCCCCCAAACAGGGCTTTAGAGGATGACCCCATCAGATTTGTGTTTTGTTTGACAAGGATCATCCTAGTTATTATGTATGAACTGGAATGGGAAAAAAAAACAAAGGACTGGGAGAAGGGCATCTGGGGTGAGAAAACAGTTGAGCTGATGCAGTGAGAAGACCTAAAGGTAGGTGGTCTTGCAGTACAAAGGCCAAAAGAAACAGAAGAATAAACATTAAGAAGGACAACCAATCAGGTCGCTGTAAATAGTAAGGGGAATAGAAGAGGCAGAATCAAAGACATTCCTATTTTTGGGTTTTATAATTGGTGATACCAGGTAGCAAGAGTCAAGACGCAGGCGACATAGACAAGAACAAATTTTGTCTTGGGTTAACTGAGTTTGCAGGATAGCCAAGTGCTTCAAAATGTTCTACACGTAATTATGTATACATGACTGGAGCTGAATGGTAAAGATCAGAAATACAAACTTAGGGGGCTGGGAAGATGGCTCAGTGGTAGAGCGCTTGCCTTGCATGCATGAGGCCCTGGGTTCGATTCCTCAGCACCACATAAGCAAAAAAGAAAAAAGCCGGAAGTGGTGCTGTGGCTCAAGTGGTAGAGCGCTAGCCTTGAGCTGAAGTGCTGAGGGACAGCGCCCAGGCCCAGAGTTCAGGCCCCACGACCGGACCCCCCCCCCCCCAAAAAAAAAAGAAATATAAACTTAGAAGTCACTAGCGTATAGATAATTATCAAAATAGAGCTTGGTGTAGTGGGAATCCTAGCACTTGGGGAGGCTTTTGAGTTCAAGAAGGGTTTTGAATTCAGAAATTTCAAATTCAGGGTAGAGGGGTGAGGGGAGTTCACTTCAAGGGGTTCAGGGGACTGAGAGCAGCTTGCCTGGGGTTTGTGAGCAATGGAGTTTGTATCTTAGGCATTATAGGCACAAGTTATGGATGCTTTGCGGGCACCCGTGGAGAGTGGTGGGGAAGAGAAGGGGAGCACATGACTAGGATGCTACTGCAGCGCTCCTACTGGGCAGAAGAGACTAGCAGAGCCACCAAGAGCTGGCGGTGGAGATAGAGCTCTCAAGTCACACCAGCAGTGTAAAGCTGCAAGGCCTGCTGGCTGAGGCCACATGGAGGTATTTGAACTGGACGAGCTGAGACAGAAAGATGGGGGTGGGGAGCGAGTAGTTTGACCAAGAAGGTGGAAGAATTTGTCAATGACTCTTAAAAGTAGGGGATAAGAGCCTCTGATCCCAGCTACTCAGGAGGCTGAAATCTGAGGATCGCAGTTTGTAGCCACACCAAGCAGACAAACCTGAGAGACTCATCTCCAATGAACCAGCAAAAACTTGGCAGTGGAAGTGTGGCTCAATGGGTAGAGCACCAGCCTTGAGCACAAAAGCTAAGAGCATAAGACCGTAAATTCAAGCCCCAGTATTGGCACAAAAATAGAAAAAAAAAAAAAAGGATTAAAGGTGGCTAACACCTGTATTCTTAGCCCTGCAAAAGTCTGAGGATTGTGGTTTGAAGTCAGCCTGGGTGCTTTTGGATGATAGTAGAAAGTGGAAATTTCATCATACAGGTGTCAAGGAAGATAGGGGAAAGGGATTTATGGGCGTTGACAAGTATACTAACAATATGCTTGCCTATTATTGACTAATTTAGTTATTCTGATGAAATGCATTTGCTATCTCAAATAGCATTCTGAGAATTGAATCAGATACAGAAGCATATCTGATACATTTTCATTCCAGCAGCTACCAGTTAAGACTGGGTGGAGATGGCAAAACCTAGTTCAATGGCTAAGGCTGGACTGTGCCTCAGTACCCATAGGCAGGAGGAAAGGCACTCAGTGTGGCATTTTCTGAACAAAAGTTAGTTGGCTTCTCCTGTCTTCTCTTCTCCACCCTAGCGTTCTCACACAAATGCAAAATAGGATCCAACAAGATCATAGGCAAAGGCAGAAGAATATAAATTTCTTTCGGAAAATCTGAGCCCTGCCCTGCAGCAGGTGGTCACGGTTAGCACTGAAGCAGACAGCAAGCAGCTAGCAACAACCCTATGGACAAGCAGAATAAAAAGAGCAGATGAGCAAAGCTGAGCCCTAAACACAAAGGCAGGACTGCTGACTTTCCTCCTTGTGTAATAGGAAGAGAGGGAGGGAGCGAGGGAGGGAGAGAGAGGAGAGAGAAAGAGAAAGGGAGAGGTGGGGGGGAGAGGGAGAGGGAAGAGGAAGAGGAGGAAAAAAGAGAAGCAATCAGCAAGTGAGCAAATTAAATTGGTAGGAAAAAAAACAAACCAGGAAACCACAATAGTAAATGCTTAGCAGCCAAACACATTTATTAGTCTTTTTTCTTTTTTTTTTTTCCAGGAACCCAAAAATATTTTGTAGTTATAATGTAAGCAACTGAGTTGCACATAATACAATCATATCTTTCCAAAATAAAATAAAAATAAAAAACTAAACAAAAACAAAAATAAGCTGTTTAAAAGCCCAAAAAAACCCTTCAGAAAACTCTTATATGCATTACATCATCTCTCAGTTTTAATGAAATGACGACGACTTAATTCCTTATTACTCAACCTGTCACAATCCAATCAAACACCACCCTTCAGTTTTTTTTGTTTGTTTTTGATATATAGATATTTTTTGAAATCCAGCATGAGAAATACAGTACCTGCTATGGCAAAAAATACACAGAAAATGCAACTTTTCAGCTTATTTGTACATTAGTAGAGTTTAACATTTTATTGTTTTTTTAAGTGAACCAGTGATTTTAAGTACCACTATACTAAAAAAAGTAAAATAAGATATAGAAAAGGGGGCCCAGCCTGCCGTGCAAGTGCACCTCTAAAGTGCCTAGTTTCTGTGTCCATGTAAAACCAATAATATGAGGAGCAATTTTCGACATATGGGAGTTTGATTAAACCTCTATGTAAGAAAAAAAAAAAAAAAAAGAGAATGCCATTTCCTCCCTCTTCTCTCCATAAGTGTCAGACCCCACCATTCACTCTGTACTGCCCATCAGAAGAGAGAAAAGAAAGCCACCAAATAATATTGTAAAAGCTATTTCAAGTATAAGAAAACCAAACACTTATAGGTAACTTGCGGAGAGCATGGTTCTGTGCAGCTATTTAATCCTTCTGATGGGTTTCTGTTGAGCGTTTCAGATGAGAGGGTTTTGCTCTACCTTCTGTTTGTGTGCAAAATTGAAGAGCTGCCTCTGTAAAAATCCAGCCTCCTTCTTAGACCCTTCTCTGCACCTTCTGTTTGAGGGGCAAGGAGAGCCCTGGAGGGAGGAGAGGATGGGAGCCCATATCACAATGGGATAAATGGTTGCCTCTCCTCCTCTGCCACATTCCCAGGTCCTCTCTTGTCCCCAGTTTAGCCTCAGTGACCTCTCACTGAAGGGACTCAATTGTAACTGTTCACCGTTTTCCTGATTTGGTAGGATGTATTTCACTATGTAAACATAGTCCCCTAGGATTATGGAACCCAAAGCAGCATTTGTATCTCCTTTGAAAGGGAGAAAAAGAAAATAGTCCAGAAACCTCTCCTCAGGTTGCTTTTGTCGGTTTTTGGTTACGCAAAACAGGGGTGAGGCGGGGTGGGCACAGAATGAGAAGTTGTAAGCGAATAGTGGAGAGTGAGGAGTGGGTGCTCTTGAGCTGTTGTATCTGCTTTTTTTTTTTCCTTTTTCCCTCCCAGAAGTTTTTTTTTTTTCCCCATGTTTTTTAAAACCTGTTAGAAATGTTCCTGCACCTTAAGTCATGCTGAAATTAAGGCCAAGGGTGCAGAAGCTTGTGCACGTGTCTGTGAGCACACTCGTGGTGCGTGCACCATGTTGATGTCTTGTGTGAGACCACTGCGTCGTACACTTTGGTCACTGGTGTGTGCAAAGGGGGTAGTGGGGAGCGACCCGGGAAGGGGGCGCAGAGATCAGCAAAGCCCTTTGGGAGCATCAGAGAGGGACACAGAACCCACGAGGGATCCAGAGTAGGAGACGGACAGGAGAAGGGCCTCCAGACAAACAAGAGAAATCCAAGTTGACAGTGCCCGAGTGTGAGGAGGTGGGGGGGATAACATGCATCACTTACAATCAAGCTTCTTCCATCAAAGGAAGTCGTCACTACACAAGATCAGGGAGCGCACACTAAAAGGGCTTCTTGACAGATAGGACTTAGCTTAGAGTGGGACACAACGGGGTCTTTTGTGAGGAAGCTATTCAACAAGCTGTGTTCTGGCCCTGCCTCTTGGCGGCCCAAACCTTAGGTGGACAAGAGCTGAGAGCCTCCTCCAAGCAGCATGCATTACATGTGTTTCCCTCCAGCAAGCAGCGTTAGGAGGAAGGAGGATCTGAGGGGCTGTTTGCATGTTTCCTTAGATGAGTTTCCTTCTAGTAAGAAATCAATACATTGCCAGAGCATCGAAAGGTGACGAAGCCACAGTGCAAACTGAAATGCCAGGGACTAAATCCCATTGTGGACTACAGAACAATCCTCTGTGTGGATGTATGTATGTGCAAGAAAGATGGACAGCCCATAGACTTGAATTCAAACCTTCCAGAGTCCCTGAAGGAGACAGATGGTCAGGAGGAGAGCAACTCAGAACCACACTCCCCCCACCCCCTCACCCCCTCCCCAGACTGGATGATGGAATAGATGGACTGACTCAGGGCAGCATTTAGCTACTGGTCTGCTGTCACTGTTTGAGGACAGTCCCATTACAACTGTAAAGCCACTGCTGACCTGCTCTATCCTTTCTCCTAAAACATAAAAAAATTCCTATTGGAAACTTCTGATGGCTTAAAATACAGAACATTGTATTTCAGGGTTACTTTCACAGCGAAGAAAATGTTTTCCAAGTTATCCTGCTATTTACATATCCCTATTTTGTAAAGGGAAACCACTGACGGCAGAAAGGAGACAAGCTAGAGGGTTTACACTGCAGGGAAAATGTACCTCGAGGTATTGTTTTGTGTTAGACAGTTGAAACATCAGGATTTTTTTTGTCTTTTTTGTTTGTTTGTTTAAAGGCAATCTAACAGATTGGAACCCTGATAAGATCGTGCCTGCACCGCCTGGCCAGGCACGAGGACTGGGATCAAGTCTGTTACTCATTACAGTACTGTGAACATCAACAAAAATTGCTGCATGGAAAACACTGAATACAGGCCAAACCTCTCGTTTACCATACTGTGTTGTGAATAATGCCTAGACCAGAGCAATGCAGGTGCCACAGTTTGTCACAGTCACAATCAACAAAGGAAATGTTAGCACAAAGAGGAGATGTCTGCAGGTTCTGCCGTGTCTCAGACCCCTCTGCTCACCAGCTATGTCCAGCGTCAAAATGCAAGGGGGAAAGGAGTAAGGGGTGAGGACAAATGGGGAAGAGAATGATTTTTCTTCCTCCTAAGAGTACATCCACAGAACAATGATTTCAAAAAGAAAAAAACATTGAAAAGGAGAGGAGGTGTTTTCCAACAGACACATGAAGATGGACTTTCAGGCCAGCAAGCGTGTGGCATGGTTTCCTGAGTTTGCAAGGGTTCTGGATTCAGGAAGGATGAGTACTTTTGTCCAGAGGACACTGGAGCCTTTGGGGCTCCACTGTACCTCTGGGTTAACACTGCACGGCTAGAATCCGGAACCACATGGGTGGATGGGAACTGCAGGCCCCTGGAATTTGCCTGGCCATCAGACCTGCCAGCAAGCGAGCCAGCAGGAGGCCTGGGAGCTCTCTTCTGCCCATCCCTTCTCAATTCCCCTTCCCCTTGAGGATGTGGGGATTCCATGGACACAGAAACTGGAGAACAAGGGTGCAAAGTCACTTCTTTCTCCACTGCCCTCCCCCCCCACAGAATGCATAGTTACAATTCGCCATACAAAATAAAGAAACAATGATGACCACATATGGATCTTTTAAAAAAGAAAAGAAAAAAATCCAACAACCTCTTCTTAAATTCAGTATCAAAATTCACATTTGCATAAAAATACATTTCAAGGCCATTAGAGAGGAATGAGAGTGAAGCATTGGAGGCAGCCACCCCTCCTCCCTTTGTCTTCCTGAATGAAGCTGAAGAGAGATTTGCTTTCCTCCTCGTGGAGATCTGAGGAATGGTGCCAATGGCCCTTAGCACTCACTGGATCTTTCTTTAGAAGATAGGGGTGGGAGAAGAGGTGGAATTGTTGAAAACAAACATCAAAAACAAATGATTTCTCTGTTTAGCTCTATTAGTTCTGAAGAAACAAAATGATTTCAGGTTTGTTTTTTTCTTCCTCCAACAGATCAACCTCAACACCTTTTCCTGTGTGTAATACCCTGTTTGTATAACCAGCAACACAACATGACTAGCATTGGGGAAAGAAAGAGCAGCCTTCGCAGGGCCGTGACTGAAAGGTAAGAATGCATGACCCAGAGAGGCTGCGCAAGCCAAAGCCCCAAATGCCTTCTTTACATGCATGAATGGGACACAAATACCACCACATTCCAATTCTCCAGTGCTTACAGAAAAACATAAAATTAAATAGCCACATGCACACACATACATACACAAAGAAAACTAGGGAACGCAGATGGAGAGAGTCAAACTGCACTGGACTACCTAGCCCTGGCATTCGTGCTTACATACCTTGTTACCTTCCCTCCCATCTCCCAGAATCTCTACTGCACAATGACTGGTGCTAAAACCCCACAGCTGCCCCTGGGGCTGCTAGGAGAAACCCAGACTTCTGGAAGACTTAGGAAACCACCCAATGGGTGGCCTCTTCCTAAAACAGAAGGTATCTGGACTCACAAAGGCACATTCAGAAGTACTACACTTAAGTGATTCTCGGAAAAAATTAAAAGGGATGGGTGAGTGGTGTTTTAAACACATTTAGTGTATTTTCCCTGGAAATTTCTGGCAAGGAGCTTCACGCTGGAATGCATCACTTGGTGAGAAACCACACTACCTTTACAAGGTAAGTTGCATTTGAAGGGCTCCCAAAGGTTTTGTTTTGCATAAATACCCCCTTGTCATTTTTGGCATGCACACACCCAGCACAGATTGGCCCCCCTGGCTGTCAGGCCAGTGCTCACAGGGAGGCAGCTCCCTCTGCCTCTGGTGGACTCTCTAATGCACACTCTGCCAGGAAGTCAGGGAGGAGGAAACAGCAACAGCAGGAAGGAGGGACTTCTTTTTGAAGAAACCATCCCAACTATTGACACTGGCTAGAAAAGAGCTAACGGTAATTGGAAGTTTATTTCCAAAGCAATGACTCATAATTCAAAAACTAAGTTGAGGCACATAGTGCATTAGGAAACACTATTTCTTCTTTCTTATATTAGAACACACTGGCCTAGGAAGTATATCTGACTCCTCTCCCATGAAAAGGTACGAGCCGATGGCAGCTTTGCAGACACCTGCTGGTCAAGGCAGCACTCTTCCCCAAAGTTTCTTGTGGAAACACACACACACACACACACACACACACACACACACACACACACACACACACACACACACACACACACACACACACACACACACACACTTCCAGAACACCTAAATACAAAACAAATAAACAAGAACAAAAACCTCCAGAACACGGGTGTATAACTGATTGAAAAATATAACTATTTAACTTGTGTGAGGCAAAAAAATGTCATTTGTCACTTTGCTACTTTTTTTGTGGGGAGAGGGATGTATGGTAGGAGGAGGTTACAGAGTCTGACAGCTTAAAAGCTACTCAGATGATGAAAATACTTGGTACTACTAGGGATCTAATTAGTTACCTCACACTCACAAAAGTGCTGAGCTGGGAGAAAGCAGCTGCACCCCCAGCCAGGGTCCCCCTCCCCCATCCTGTAGATGTTCATGGTCTTCCTGTTTGGCAGTGGAGGGTGGGGGGAGATGTGGGAAGGTGATATGGGCAATGTAGGGAAGGCTGCTACACAATAATTACTATTATAATCCTCAGCATTGACAATTCTTTCAAATCTACAAAATGTGATATGACAACCTCCTCTGAGCAAATTTAAAGTCAAGAAAAAAAATACTCTCATTGACAAATGGGAGATCATGTGTGAAAGGGAGCCTGCTGACGGCACCACAGGCTGCACAGACTCTGAGGTACAGAGGATGCAGCAGGTTTGCTTACAGACTCAGATGATGTCCTTGTCAGCATTCTGGAGAGTTGTGTATTTCTAGAATATATGACACCCCTGTCTTTGTAGACAAGGAACCAAGAGGGTATGGTATGGTATGGGTCAAGGCTCTAGTGGATTCTGAATGGCTACTCAAGTCTACAGAGGGAAATTCACTGTATATACCACAGGCTAGAAGATTCTCAGCTGTACCATCGAGTGTAGCTAGGAGGAAATCCACCATCACAGAATGAGATTTTTTTTTTTGCAATGACACTAAGAAGTGTTAGTAAATGCACAATGAAATGTGACAAAGCTTGGCAAAAAATGGAAAGTGACTTTTTTTCTCTTTTAACCAGCTAAAAATGTACCTGTACTCCTACTGAAGACCTTATGGATACTTAAAAAAAAGGCAAAGCAATAAACAAGAAAGCTTTATATGCTGAATTTTCACTTTGAGGGTGGGGAAGAATGGGACCTTTTCTGTATGAAGACTCAGGCCCTAATATTAGAAACCAACAATGCTGACAACAGCCTGCTTATGCTGGGGAGAAAAACAGGATTGACTGACATTCTGTTTGTTCAGAACAGATACTAAGAGAAGAGCCAGAACACAGAATACAGAAAGTAAAATGAAAAAGTATACATCTTCTGAGGTCAAATGGAATCTGGCTATTAACTTCACAAAGCCTGCTCTCCCTGCACCCTCTCACCCCCCACCAAAGAATGAAAGCAGGAGTGAAGAGCTGGGGTTCTTGGTGGTAGAGTGCTTCCTAGCATGGGTTGATCTCCAAACCCCAAAGAGTGAATATTTGCAGCAAGTTAATAGCCCATGAACTTTTAGTTTCTGACAGACACACTAAAAAGGGAGTTTCCAAATTCTTAGGCAAAAATTTTTTCCCGCTGAGTGTCTTACAGCAGACCTTCAAGCCACAGGGGCTTGGCAGAACCAATTGCTGATATATGCTACATTCATGTCAGAAGAGAACAATTATTAGAACAGAAGCCACAGAAATACAAAAATCTAGCTGCTATACATAAAACTAACTGGCAATAAATGGAGGGAAGGGGCACTGATCAGAGTGGCTTGAAATCTTCTATTTTGTGGTACAGGGATTGAACCAGCACTGCTGATTGGTAACCCGACCAAAGTGGAAAATTTCAAGGGTAAGGGACTGAGTATTTGGAGATGTTAGGGGAGCATCTGTTTCTTTACAGCAGTCTTCTGTCACGTGGAAATGAGATCATAGCACAGTCTCATTGGCAGCAGAGGTGGTCCTGCCTGATGGAAGGCATTCCCTGCCTTACTTGTGCCTCTTTTCTTTTGGCTACTCAAGAACTGGTGAGAACCCAAGTCTGTGATGTGAATAAGAAACGCCCAGCCACTAGTAATCAAGTGTTGTTGTTTTCTAAATAGAAGAAGCTAGTACACAATGGAAAGCTCACACATCCATGTTGAAAATGAATATTAAATAAATCTATGTAATGAGGGTGGCCCAGCAAGCCTCTGTCCACATGCCAGAATGTGCTAGGAGAAAGGATGCTCCTACTGAATTTTCTAAGTGTAACTAAGTCCCTTAGCTTCTTGGTAGACCTGGCTTTTGCCAACGAATACCAAGGAAAGAAAAGAGCTTTCCTCTTCTAGGACACCTGGCAGTCAATCCTGCTCTTAAGGTCATTACCAACCAAAAATGCAAAGCTTCTAGCAAGATGATGGGACAGGGTAGGGGGTGGACAAAGGAGAACAGGAGCAGAAAAATAGGAACCCTTCCACTGGCCCACCACAAAGAGACTTTTCCCAGGCACTATAGCTGGGACAAGAAGTCATCACACCCAAGCAGGGACTGGCAACACAGGAAGGAACTTGGCATTCCACATTATCAAGACATAAAAGCCTATTTACCTGCCTTGACTTTTATCTACTTATTTTCATCTAGCCTACTGCCTTTGGAGCCCATCCAGGAGGACTCCAGTTTTATGGGCAGCCACGAAGGATGTCTAGGTATATGAATGAAGGCACTCAAGCGGTTTTAGAGAAATCAGGCAGCAATCCCACCCACTCCCTTCACCTGTGGAGTTGGAGTTTCTTTCCCACCAGGGAGCTTAATGTTTGAAAGAAGCTGTGGTTACGTGTGGGAATTCTGACCCCCAGCCCCAGGAGGGAATACAAAAAGAGAATTCAACATCACCAAAACTGAAACACTCCACATCTCTGCCATCCAGGGATGGGCATAATTAAGCAGCAGATTTCAAAACAGTTATTAAAACAAGCACAACAGTAGCTGGGAGCTTTAAAAAAAAAAAAAAGTAAAATCACTTGTTCCTTATTAGATTCTTCTGTTTTCTCCTCCTCCCATTACAAATGGAGGTGAGACAAGACATTCTTCATTAAGAGAACAGTCCATAATTTTCCTTTAGAAATGCCTACATTTAAAAGTTGTTCCAAACTTTATTAACTTATAGTTCCTAACTCTTCACATATATTCTCAGCAATCCATCTGCACTATTTTACAGATTAGGGTTACTTTTTTTTCTTCCTTCTTTTTAAGCTGTTGTCTTTATTCCTTTTGTTGTTGTTGCTGGGGTTACAGGGGTAGAGAGAAGGGCTCCATTAAAAAAAATGACTGGGGAGATTTCTGTTTAACCTTTTATGGAAGAAAAGGCGGCATGCAACTGTTTCCTCTGTGCACCAAACACTCCCCATGCAGTCACATCCTGACCTCAAACAGGCCCCTGATGACTCTCTGAAGCTTGAATCCTTCTCCCACAGCTTCCAAGTGAACAAATTTACCTTTTGCTGCTAAACTGATCATTTTTTAAAAATATCTCTATGTGTTTTTAAAATGTATGACTTCCCCAGTATGACAATAACATTTGAAGACTTTTCTTTTTACATGTTTTTTCTAAGTAAAAATTGTTTTAAACTTTCTGAAGTTTCAGGAACTTGTAGAAGTTTATTAGCAGGAAAGAAACAGCCGCCTATCTAGGATAAGATACGGTTAAATAAACCATCTTCAAAAACTGGCTTCCTACCCTAGAATTCCTGAGAATGCTTGCAAATTTTAAAGCAGGAAAATAAATGTTAAAAACAAAAACAAAACAAAAACACTGTTAAATGCTCCCAGAGTTAGTCTTCATCTAAAATATATATGTGTATGTATGCATATATATGTATTTGTATATGTATATATATAAATATATATACACACATGCACTTTTTGGTCTTTTTTTAAAAGTTTTTAGTTTTTTTCCCTTTAAGCTTATGATGGAAGAACATTTTAGCTTCTCATGTTTATTTTTACATATTTCAAATCCCTCATTTATGTCTTGTAAACAAGAGGGGCTCTAGCACCCGGCTTTCACCGTAGTATCGTAAGGAACTCAACTAAGCCATAGTGCAGGCAAGGACCCAACAGGCAGGAGGAAGAGGGCAGGGCAGGACATGGCCGTGAACCAAGAGCGGCAGTGGACAGTCCCCAGTGGCTCACAGGAGGACTTGAGATGAGCTCCTAGCCTGGGGACACTTAAGATTTAGCCTTCTGTCTGTAGATGTCTGAACACAAGCTGCGCCTCACCTGGAGGTTACCTGTCACAGATGACAGGGTTCTGCTCAGTGCAGAGGTCAGTCAACGGGGGCTAGGAGACATTTTGTAGGAGAGCAAAGGTGGGAGGGGCATGGTGATAAAACTGAAGAGCAGGAGGAGGGCACAGTCAGTTTGAACAAGGCATCCGTGGGAACAAACCAGCACTGCACACTCAAGTTTGCCTACCCACCCGTGGGGGGCTCCCACAACCCCGCACGCAGGACTGCTCAACTTGAATTATGCCTGTCAATCTCTTTCAAGGCTAGGTTTATAATCAACAGAGCAAGCCAACAGAACTACAGAATTTCCCATTCATTGTCTCACAAAACCACTCTCATGTAAATAATTAGGTTGATCTTTTTTTTTTTCCTTTTCCTTTTAACATACCCCTCCACCCACCTACACAAAGACACAAGCTGAAAGTCAAATACATTAGGCATTATTGTGTCCTTCACTGAAGATGCTAAAGAAAAGAAAAACTCCCTTGTCCTCAACAGCAGCGAGTTACAGATGACAGAAGTCTGCTCCCGCTAGGGGCTGGAATGGGCAGGTATTTGCTGGTACAGAATGTCGGCACTTCATGTTGAACAGTGTGATGCAGACTGGGACAATCACACAAGTGCTAGCACGCTACCTGCACACCCTTCTTCTCCCCACCCCCCAGCTGCTTGGTGCAAAGGGGTTTCTGTAAGGTCTGCTGTCATTCTTCACAATAAGCAATTTGATATATTTTGATTCCAACAAAGTACATACAAGTTGGTGATAACTGTGGATTAAATGTTGCCTCCTGTTCGGCCCAGAGAACTACTACATTGATGCTTAAAAAGAAAAACAAAAAAACCCCTCAATTTAAATACAAAAAAAGGAAAAAAAGCAACATTACAAGGAAAAAAAAAAGAGGTCAAAACCAAAAAGGTGCAATACTTAAAAAAGTCTTTGCTAAGTTATTCCTGCCTAAGCAAAACCACATACACAGGAAATACACAACACGGAGAAACAAAGGGAAACGCTTGAAGTACACACTGGTTTAAGAACATTCGTTAAGTAAACGTTTCTGTCAGTGATGGCCTGGTGTTGTAACACGCCCCGGCCTGGCACAGGTAGCGCTCAGCGCAAGAGGAGTAGGAGGAGGAGCAGAGAGGGAGGAGCAGAGGAGGAGGAGCTGCGATGCTTCCAGGAGGCTGCTCACAACTTACTGCTGTTGGTTTTCATCAGATGACAATGAGAACCAATAGAAGATTCAATCACATCACCAGACTTTTGACAAATCTCTCACACCTGATCACACAGGGACGCAGGAACACAGCATCTCTGCTTCTGTGACATCACATAACTGAAAAACTATCTTTTGTTCCCAAACTAACAAAAAGGCCTGCATGAAACTGCACAAAGACCTCAATGCGCCTAGCAGCCACTCACTTTAAAAAACAGAAATAAACACACAGCTACCCCAAAGGACACGTCCTGCTCTCCAACTGTTGGACTTGGCAGTGCTCTGCTCTGCTGCTAGGTTGAGAGAAAAGCTAGAGAACCTCACACTCAGGCGAATGCGCAAATGGCAAGGAGCTCCCTGCTCAGACGATGGAAAAGCACGCTTCTCTTAATGCAGCCTTGACCAAATGGCTTGAGTTGCAGCGGCTTCCCCGTGCGCGTGTGTTCTCATAGTTTAAAAAACTAAGAAAATAAAAAGCCAATGCAGATGGCCGGCCGGCCAGCCAGCCTGCGGACTGTCAGCAATGCAGCTTTCTGAGAAATCAGGGTAGGGCAGGAGGAGGGCAGGACACAGGCACACACAGAGACAGAGAGGCAGATGCACGCGAATGCACATGGACACACGTGCACACACATACCAGAACGAGCATGCCTGGGCAGTTACATGTGCCAGAACACACTGGTATTTATCAACCAGCCAATCACAAATTTTTTCTTTTTTCTTTTTTTTCTTTTTTTAGGTTTTTTGTGTTTTTGTTTTTAAAGTGAGGCTCCGTCAAGTCTTCCCTCCCCCCTCCCCCAACAATTCTTTTGAATTTCCCTCCCACCCAAACATGGTAGACCTAAGGACGGAAACACACCCAGTGCAAACAAAGTTAAAAAGCTATTTTTTTCAGTATATATGTTTCTTAGCAACAACTTCCATATAACATGAAAAAAGTGAAAAACTAGAAACTAATTTTTTTAATTTTTTGTGTTTAAATTTAAATGGTATGTGTACTTGCTTCACATTGTCTTTCTAGGTTGGCGTTCATGATTCAAGTATTTCAAGAGTGATATGTTCTCTTTTTGGATTCAGATTCCAAACGAAAAACTGAAGTTATAAGGGAGGCAACTATGTGCTCAGACAGTCTGTCAATGACCCACCTTTTTTTTTTTTTTCCTCTCTCCGTTTTCTTTTTTCCTTTTAAAAATGTATTTATTGCAAGTTGAAAAAAAAAACGAAAAGGTCAAGTTAGTGCTGCTGCTGTTCCAAAAAAGGTCACGAGGTCAGAGTTGAAAGTTCTAAGTTCAGATTGAATCCGACCCTCCTCCCAGAAGGTCACCAGGTAGTAAAGGAGCCGGGCTGCCCATCCTATGGGGATCTTCTACCGTTGGGACTCCCCATAAGCTAGAAGAATAGTTTGGGGGCCCCCACAACGAAGCGCCAGCAAGATCGGCCCCACTGCTGCCGCCAGCACTGCTGCTCCACTGCCCGAGCCCAGTAGACCCACCGAAAAGGTTCAGCGCAGGTCCAACAGGGTCTGACTGGTTCTGGCCGGTTTCCAGGGACTGCCACCCTGCGGTTGGTGCGCTGGGGGTTGCTGCAGGTGTAGGGGGCTGAGCTTGTGCCAAAAAGCGGCTAACTTCATCATCGGTGGCAAACTCAGCCAGGATGGTAGTGTTTCCCAACACACACCTGGATAGAGGAGGGAGAGAGGACTGTGGGTCTGGGTCTGAGGGAAGCATACATGGGACAGGACACTCTTACCAGGCCACATTACCTGGATGAGCTGTAGAAGGCAGAATCACAGACCCCACCCCAGGCCTACAAATCAGATGCTGCATTTCAACTGAAGCAGAGCATCAGGCTGTCACCAAAGCTTGACAGTCAAAGGTATACAGAATTCACATAATGCAGACAGTACAGATATCAAGAAAGATGGGCAGGAGAGCACGTGGTACAGAGGGTTTTGAGTCCAAAACCAAGGACATGTAATGCTGTGCATGTAGGCGTTAGGCATGGGGACTATATCTTAGTGTATTTTCATCAGCTGTGAACTGTGGATACTGGGATGCTGGGCACACGGAGAAGGGCAAAGGTGTACGGGAAATATCTGTTAGGGCCTCTCAAATTTTGCTGTGAACCTAAATATTTTCTTTAAAAAAAATCACATTTTTAAAAAAGGTGGGTGCCAGTGGCTCATGCCTGTAATCCTACTCAGGAGGCTGAGATCTGAGGATGGTGGTTCAAAACCAGCCTGGGCAGGAAAGTCCCTGAGACTCATATCTCTAATAAACTATTCAGAAGAAGCCAGAAGTAGTGCTGTGGTAACAGTGGTAAGAGTGCTAGCTTTGAGTAAAAAGAAGCTCAGCGTTAGTGCCCAGGCCTTGAGTTCAAGTCCCAGGACCGGCAAAAAAAAAAAAAAGGAAGGAAGGAAGGAAGGAAGGAAGGAAAATGCACCTTAAAAACAAAAGAATCCATGTGCAGTAAAAGATCAATCGAAAGCATCAGGCAGGTCCTCACCAGACACCGAAAGCCCCTCAGGGGGACGCACTGCCACCTCACCATCACTTGTTCATTCTGTGTAGTGCTTTACCGTGGCAGCTGTGGCCGGAGGCAGGCAGCTCTTTCCTATCACCATTTTGGTGGCTGGGAGAGGAATGATCAAAGTCTGATCTAGTTCAATCTGTTTCAAGTAAAAATCCTGCTCCCTGCCAAGACCGCAAAAATGTCATCATTATTTACAAAGAGGTCACCTCAAGCAACTTTGATTCTACCTGGAAAATGACAGCACTAAGAATATTACATTTCCATGGTATTTACTCACTACACTTCACAAGTTATTTACATTTGGAATTTTAATCACAAGCCTATGATATATGCAGAACAACATGAGCACTCTCAGATAGAAAGGACATGTCTCCTGCAAATGCATACAAGGTGGGATTACTCGTGAATGTTTGTGTGTGCTGGTAGCAGAATACTCACATGAGCATTTCATGTGTGTCAGTCTAGGTGGGCATGGGATGGAGTACTTACATGTGCAGTGCAGTTTGGGCCTTGGCCGCCTCCTGTTTGGTGCTGTATCGGATCAGGGCAGTGCCCTGGGTTAGATTCAGATGGAATGTCAGCAGTGGACCATGCTGCATGCAGATCGTTCTCAAGGTTGACCCATCAATCTAAGAAGTAACAGTATTCATGAGATATAAGTTAGGGGTGGGAAATTTTGACAATGTTTAAATTATGGGTCTGAGACCCACATTCCCATTTTGCAAATAAAATATCTGCATAAATAAAGCTCAAAATGAATGAACAGTTCAGCCTGTGGTCTGTTCTCCTGAAAAGATAAACAAGTGAGTGGAAATTAAATTAGAGTGATATCTTAGAACCTAAAAAGGCAGAAAAGACAGTAGAGTATAAGAATTTAAAGGAACATGTAAAGTTCTTGGGATCATTACTAATGTTTTATTTCTCTGCCTCCCCAGTAAGCAATTTCACAAAGAGACAAAGAAAAAAAGAGCCAAACCAAACCAAACAGTTAGACACGTGGTATTCAGAACTGATAACTACCTAGCCTAGTTCATAGACTATTCATTCGAATACTGTCTTACTTGGACCACTTCAAGGAGAGACTACTTCTCTGCTCCTTCTCTGTGTCCTAAGCTGCCCTCAGGCAACTTGACCAAAGGTACAGTTGAAGTCAGGTCAACTAATGAGTTCAGTTATGCCAGATGTTGTGGCACAGGTTTGAAATCCCAGAGCTCAGAAAGCAGAAGCAAGAGAACACTTAAGTTCTAGACTACATATTGAGACCCTAACGCAAAAGCAAACAGAGTTTGACAAGACTCCTCCTGGATGAGCATTGTAAAAGTGGTGCTATAAAATCAATGACGGCCCAGGGCTCCTGTTCCTTTCCCTCATTCAGATACTGTCTCAGTCACAGAGCAACCACAGTTTAGGGAGGGCAGTTCAGTGTGACCAAACCTGTCCCTAGAAATCCCACCACAGGGCATGCGGTGGTGAGAGCAAATCAGCAATGTTGTCTGTACTCGAGTAGAACAATGGCTGAAAATAAAAAGCACCTATGTGGCAGTAAGTGACAAAATCAATTCATTCCTTCTAGTGTAGAAATGGATGGTTATTTAAGCAGCATAAAAATGATTAATATTGAGTCTCAGGTCTTGCTGGATAAATTAGCAAAACAAGCACTCCCTTTCTCATTTTTGTTTTTGTGCTGACAGGGATGTTAGATAAATGCTCTACTACTGAGATACATTCTGAGCCCCAGGTAGCTTTTCAGTGTGTAATTAAAACATCCCTTTCTACTTAGTTCTGGATTCTACTGGCTCATCCATACAGAAAATTACCTCGACTACACAGAAACCACTACATCATACTGCTCAACTCTGAGTGTTTTGTAAACTCCACAGATTTCCACCCATTTGATGGTGGACAGGAGGCTAAGCACCCCCTTTCAGAAGGTCGCTATATGTCTTAGAGGGAGGAGATACCTACTTCCTATATGCAGGACCCACAGTGACCAGGAAACAAAATGATTTTTCTTACATACCAATGTCCCCTATCTCCTAGTTTTCCTATTTCTCTCTTTTTGGCAGTGCTGGGGTTAGATCTCAGGGACTTTACCACATATAGGTACTGTTTTGTGCTTTTGCTATCTGGTCCTCCTACTTCTGCCTCCCAAGTAGCTGGGACTACAGGCATATTATCGTGCCCAGCTTCCCTCACTCTCAATACAGTTGAGTCCTCTCTAGAAAACCACAAGAAAGCACCATTACCTGTGGAGTGAGATTGTGAAGAACGAGCCAGTAACTAGGACGAACTGAGCCACCATCACTCCAGGTAGAGGCTGCAAGCGACCACAGACAAAAGATGAGGAATAGTAAAACAAAAACAGAACACCCCCAACTCCAGAAACCATGTGGCAGAAATCTTTTTTGCCTCACCCTGACCCTTATATCCTATGCCTTTCTCCTCGTCACTGACCCATATAGAATCTTTTGCCTATTTGCAAGACACTGTTTCCCTCCATGTTTTCTCTTTACTCTGCTATTGGTCATTTTTAATTGAGAGGTCTGGGTCTCTACACCTTGTATTGTCGGCAACTTTCTAATCAAGAGATACAGACAACCAGTCTCCTCTGGTGTGCCAGCCTCTTCACATCCTCCCCACTGTGCCAGCCCAGCGGCTGCTGTAGGAGATCTCACCTGAGGCAAGCCGAGAGTCCTGGGTCCCCCACCCCCTGACGGATCGGGGTGCTGTGCTGCTCCAGGGAGATGCCGGTTTGGGGTTGGTCAAGCCGGGAGGTGGGCGGGGCAGCGGTGTAGTGTTCCTGGAGGAGATGTGGTTTTTCCACATCTTGTTGGAGAGATGAGTGGGGTTGTGTCCTATGGGATCTGGGGACCACGTGGATTTGTAATCAGGGAACTTTGCTGTGAGAAGAGAAGATTCAAGAAGCAATAGGTTAGATGGGGCAAGTTTGTCCACAGATGTAAACAAATCTTGCTTCCACACAAATATGTATACAATCCTATTCGAAAAAGTTGTTCTCTGAGCTTACTGAACAAAAAATTTTCAGTGGTATCACTGTGACTTTACAAAGTTTTCATAAAAACTGAAGATTTAGTAAGATAAGTAATTCTAGGAGTAAGTACTCCTAAAGCTGTCAAGCTTATGATATGATTAGAATGTCAATACTAGCACAACTAAATTATTCTATGAATACTTCATGCAAAAAGTACATTAAAAATTAGCTTTCTAGGATGGGAATGTGGTAGAGTGATTGCCTAGCCTGCATGAAGCCCTGGGTTTAATTCCTCAATACTATATAAACAGAAAAGGCCAGAAGTGGCTCAAGTGGTAGAGTGCTAACCATGACCAAAAGCTCAGGGACAGTGCCCAGGCCCTGAATTCAAACCACAGGACTAGCAATTAAAAAAACCAACAACAACAAAAACCCACAAATACTAAGGGCTTATTATCTTTAAGATATTAAATCAATGCTAAGGTTTATAATACAGTGATCCTCAAGAGCCTCCAGTTCAGATGGGAGATGGAATAGTGGGATAACTGGTAACCCTGGCAACAGCACAATGTTCAATATGCAGAGGATAGTCTTTGCTAGGCTGCCGGCAGAGGCTTTGCAGAGACAGATCTGAAGAATTCAGATCACGGGACCAGTTCGGTAAAGCAGGAAAATGGGAGATAAGGTTTAACATAGGATCTCCAATACAGAGTATAATCTCAGCCAATTTTGATTGAATGTCACATTTTGCAGGGATAGGGAGGTAAGGAGGTGATGTGGAAAGCTAGGGCAGGGTAACCTGCAGGGGAGTTTCTGAAGCAGGTTCAGCACAGGGTTTATACAAGAGTGATGGAAAACAAAATGGAGCAGGAGGAATGGGCAGTGAAGACTATGACTCAGGATACAATCATGCCTGGATGCAGGAAACAAAGAAAGGAAGGAACGGGAAATACTGAGATTCTGTGACAAAGTGAAACCTGGGAGCATTATTTAAAAAAATAAGGGTATTCGTTAAAAAAGAAAAGAATTTGAAAGTGAATGTTCAACTGTAGAGAAATACCTAGGTCAACTTGAGATATGGGCACTTACAGACGGAATAAGAGTTGGATGAAAATGAGCCGGAAGGGAAAAAGATCAGAGGCTCGAGGTCCAGGCACATTTCTGGGTATGGAGCAAGATTTTATCTCAAAAATAATCAGTGTGAGCCAGGCACCGGTGGCTTATGCCTGTAATCTAGCTACTCAGGAGGCTGAGAGCTGAGATCGCGGTTCAAAGTCAGCTTGGGCAGGAAAGTCTCTGACACTCTTCTCTCCAAGTCACCACCAGAAAACCCGAAGTGGCACTGTGGCTCAAGTGGTAGAGTGCTCCCCTTGAGCTGAAGAGCTGAGGGACAGTATCCAGGCCCAGAGTTCAAGCCCCAAGACTGACCCCAACTGCCCCCCCCCCCAAAAAAAAATCAGTGCAAGAGCTGAGTGCCAGTAGCTCATGACTATAATCCCAGCTACTCAGGAGGCTGAGATCTGAGGATTGCCATTCAAAGCCAGTCCAGGCAGACAAATCTAAGAGATTCTTACTTCTAATTAACCAGCAAAAAGCCGGAAATGTGGCTCGGGTGACAGAGTTCAACTGTGAGCAAAAAAGCAAAGTGAAAGCCTGAGGCCTAGAGTTTAAGCCCCAATACTGGCACACACCAAAAAAAAGATATAAATAAAAATAGGAACAAAAATAACATACTAAAATATAAAAATTAAATAAAATATTAAATAGATGAAATAAAATAGCTGGGTGCTGGTGGCTCATACCTGTATTTCTAGCGTCTCAGGTGGCTGAGATTTGATGATTGTGGTTTGAAAAGCCAGCCTGAGCAGGAAAGTCTGTGAGACTGTTATCTTTAGTTAACCACAAAAAAGCCAGAGAGGCTCTAGTAGCATAGCACCAGTCTTGATTAAGGGATAAAGCCCAGATCCTGAGTTCAAGCCCCAGTAGCAGTATAAAAAAATAATGAGTAAAATAAAATTCAGAGCTAGCCACCAGTGGCTTACACCAGCAATCCTAGCTACTCAGGAGGCTGAGATCTGAGGATCATGGTTCAAAGCCAGTCTGGGCAGGAATATCCATGAGATTCTTATCTCCAATAAACTCAAAAAAGCTGGAAGTAGAGCTGTGGCTCAAATGGTAAAGTGCGAGCACTGAACACAAAGAGGCTCAGGGATAGCACCTAGGCCCTGAGTGCAAGTTCTAGGATTGGCAAAATAATAACTGTTATAATTAAGGTGATTACAGAAGGATTACTGTTTCATAAATCAGGTAACAAGTATATTTCTTTTTGGGAAATGTCACCCCTTCCTTCGCTTTCCCCCAATTTCCTCATGCTATACATCTACAAGATCTTTAGTTCATTTTCAATGTAGTGTTTAGTGAGTACCATTGCTGCATTTGTTCATCCTTTGTATTACCATTTCTGTGTCTTCTCTTACCCTCCCCCAAAGGCAGATAAATGAACACACAAGACAAAAAAACAAAAATAAAACAAAAAAAAAAGCAAAAACAAACACCATCTCCACCAACAACAGCAGAAATTCATTTAGTTTCCTGGGAATTCACTTAACTAATTATTATTTAAATGTTCACACGTATAGAGAGGCATTTCACCTTTTGGTTTCTCCGCTAAGAGTATCCTCCTTTAGTCTCACTGTATATGAATGTAACATGTAAATTAGTCCTGCAAAGTATAATGCTGGGTGGTTATGTGAAACACAGGATTTCTCGTGTGTAATTTAGGCTCAGACTTGAGACTTTTTTATTTTTTTGGCCAGTCATGGGGCTTGAACTCAGGGTCTGGGCACTGTCCCTAAGCTTCTTTTGCTCAAGGCTAGGACCCTACCACTTGAGCCACAGCGCCACTTCCAGCTTTTTCTGTTTATGTGGTACTGAGGAATCAAACACAGGGCTTCATGCATGCTAGGCAAGCACTCTACCCGTAAGCCACCTTCCCAGCCCTTGAGACACATTTTAAGAATTTTTTTTTTCTTTTTCTTTTTTGAGAGAGGATCTTGCTATGTAGCCCATGTTGGCCTTGAACTTGAAGTCCTGCTCAGCCTGAGTGCTGGGATTATAGGAATATATGACTATAGCTAGCTTGTATCAGATCTTTGAGTCTGAGTCTGAGTCTGAGTGGGGATTGTAACATAGTCTACTCAGAGCATTATGTAAAGGTCAAAGGTTGACTTCAAATCCTAGATTATATCCATTAAGCCAACAAGTACTTCTAGTCAAATTAACCAAGGCCCTCCCCTTCTTTGGACTTTTTCCATCTCCCTTGTTTTTGTCTATAAGCTAAAGGATTTCTAGGGAAGAGCAAGCTGTTATTGGCTGCCACAGGAATAATAATTTGGACTTAACCATCTCTTCCCATGTCCCTTGATTCCTTGGCAGATTTGTCAAGGGAAGCATTTGTGTCAATCAGGTCACGGGTCCTGCCTCTTTGTGCACCCAGTGCTCAGATTCTATCACTTCTGGCCTTGAGTCAAAGTTGTAGCTTTTTAGCTTTCTTCAAGGTGATGGCAAAGACTTCTGGACTTCCTCTATCACTGGCCTCCTGTAAAAGTATTCCTTAGGAAACTAATGGCAAGTGCTAACCAAGGGAAGAAATGACTCTCATACCTGAAGTGCTATGAACGTTGGTGAAGGAGTTGTCAGAGGCACTGTAGGGCCAGGCACCAGGTGAAGGCAGCGAGGTGTTGAGGGAAGAATTAGACCCTTGAGGTGACAACAAGAAAATATGGAAGATTAAATGTCAGTTGATCCAGTGAAAAAAAATACCTAAAAAATATGCCTAAAAAATAAAAAATGTGAAAAGTAAACTGTTCCTATTTTCTGGTTACATTATTAAGTACCTGCATGGCTAAGGCTGACTTGTATAAAAATGCTGGGCAGAATCCACGCAGAGGATATGGCAGCCTACCTGTGGTGTTATCCCGCAGCAGTTGGTGGTCAGTATCTACAATGGGAGATGTGGCTGTACCCCCCAGCACACTTCCTGGGGTGACATAGGGATCAGATTCAGGGTCAATATTTTGGATACCTTTCCATGGCACTCCTGGTTGGAATTCTGAGACAAGAAGAGCAAGTGTTAGGAAAAGAGGTTGTCTTCAACCCCTCTCCTCTCACCCCTCCGCACCACCATCCCCCCCCTAAAAAAAAAGAAAAATAGATCTGTGAAAAGTCTAAATTATGAAACTATTTTCATCATAAAGTTAAAAAAAAAAACTTTGCCTGGCACCTGGCTTGGATCTTTATTTATATATTTTTAAAATTTTTATTATTAAGGGGCTTGGAAGGTGGCTCAGCGGTAGAGTGCTTGCCTTGCATGCATGAGGCCCTGGGTTTGATTCCTCAGCACCACATAAAGAGAAAAAGCCAAGCCGGGCCCTGGTGGCTCACGCCTGTAATCCTAGCTACTCAGGAGGCTGAGATATGAGGATCGCGGTTCAAAGCCAGCCCGGGCAGGAAAGACCGTGAGACTCCTATCTCCAATAAATCACCAGAAAAACCGGAAGTGGCGCTGTAGCTCAAGTGGTAGAGCGCTCGCCTTGAGCTGAAGAGCTGAGGGACAGCGCCCAGGCCCCGAGTTCAAGCACCACGACCGACAAAAAAAAAAAAGAGAAAAAGCCAGAAGTGGCGCTGTGGCTCAAGTTGTAGAGTGCTAGCCTTGAGCTGGAGAGCTGAGGGACAGCGCCCAGACCCATAGTTCAGGCCCCATGACCGGCCAAAAAAAAAAAAAAAAAAAGAATGCAGAAAAAAATTTTATTATTAAGTAGCTGTACAAAGAGATTATAGTTCCCTAAGTCAAGTTATAAGTACAATGCTTCTTGATCAAGTTATTCTTATTTTGGCTTTACTAAATTTTCTAATTTCCCTACAATAAATAAAGTGAAGACAGAAAAAATTAAATAATCTCAGTGTATTCATCACTGCATATCTACAGCCTAAGTAATAATAAAATCTCTAATCAACTGACTAAGGCCTGTATTCCAGGCATTCTATTCCCAGCTACAAGGTCATCTTCTACATCTCCAGAGGCCCCCCCTAGTCAAGATTTTCCATCTTCCCTTAGCACATGCCCTGCCTTCCTGCCCTTACTAGACAATAATTACTGAATTGAAAAAGAAAGCATGGAATTCAGTTAAGTGTATTGCAAAAACAATGTGATTAGAACCTGAACAAATGCTATTCTAGAAAAAGCATTTCCTGGACAATACCTGGAGGCCAACTGGCATTGCTGGATTTACTTCCAATTTTATTTGTTGGTGGAGATTTGGCAGGTAACCAGCTATCACCAGCAGGACCCGTATGGCCACCCAGCGTGTCACCTGGGATGATATCAAACTGGTTGTATGGTGACCCTCCTCGGGTTTTACCAGGGGCCACTATAGCGCCTGAGGAAAGAGAGAGGTAATTAGTTAACTCAGAAATAGAGGATCTGTTCAGAAAGCACTCTGGTGAGATTTTTATTGTTTTTTCTTTCTGAGTAATGAACAAGGGGCTTCCATTTGGTACGCAAATGCTCTGACATTTGAACTGTCTCAGCCCCCAGATGAAACTTTTCTTTTTTCCAGAGGACCTTAAATACAGTTTTCTGAAGCATGTGGAATAAAGAGAACACTGGAATATGAGGCTGCATGGGGCACTTACCTCATAATTAAGGCGGAGATGGCCTTAACAAATCATCTTACCTCTCTGAGCTTCTCAATTTCTTATGTAACTCAGAGGTCTATTCTCATTTTTTTTTTTTCTTGGTGCCAGTACTGTTGCTTGAATTCAGAGAACTGCCTTATTCTGCTCAAGGATGTCACTCTACCACTTGAACCATGCTTTCCATCCAGCTTTTTGGGGGGTTAATTAGAGATGAGTCTCATAGACTTTCCTGTCCAGGTTGGCTTTGAATCACAGTCCTCAGACCTCAGCCTCCTGAGTAGCAAGATTATAGGTTTGAGCCACCAGTGCCCAGCTTCAACCTCACATCCTCACTCCTGAATGATGAATGGTTCTTTTAGTATGGTAAATCCCCTTAGGAAATCAATGAAATGTTCATATGCTGCAAATCATACCATGATCACCAGAATTTCTATGCTAATCACTCCAGTGAGAAATGGGAAGCTTTTTTTTTTGGGGGGTCAGTCATGGGGCTTAAACTCTAGGCGTGGCACTGTCCCACTTGAGCCACAGTGCCACTTCTGGTTTTCTAGTGGTTTATTGGAGATAAGAGTCTCATGGATTTCCTGCCCGGGCTGGCTTTGAACCACCATCCTCAGATCTCAGCCTCCTGAGTAGCGAGGATTACAGGTATGGGCCACTGACGCCGGGCTATGGGAAGGTTTTTAAATGACATCTCTACAGATGATACCTACCCACATTTCTTTTTTCTTTTTTGTCGGTCGTGGGGCTTGAACTCTGGGCTTGGGCACTGTCCCTCAGCTCTTCAGCTCAAGGCGAGTGCTTTACCACTTGAGCTACAGCGCCACTTCCGGTTTTCTGGTGGTTTATTGGAGATAGGAGTCTCACGGTCGCTCCTGCCCGGGCTGGCTTTGGGCTGGCTTTGAACCGCAATCCTCAGATCTCAGCCTCCTGAGTAGCTAGGATTACAGGCGTGAGCCACCAGTGCCCGGCTCCACATTTCTTAAGTGCTAACTTAGCTTTAGATTAGCTAGAAGCAGCAGGCAGGGAGTCCAATAGAGAGAAAGGCATCTGCTATTGCTTTAAATTCCAAGGCAATGAGATGGAATTCCTGTCCCAGGGTCCTTGCCAGCAAAAGGCCAGCAATGAACTCTGCAGCTCTGAGCCCCAGGGCCTTACACAGGAAGAACAGCAAACCCTTTGTCTCAATGTTCCTGAGGGCATTTCTGAGATTTTTCTGGTGCCCCTGCTTGTTTTTTATATGCTATGTGGAGGGGAAAAGTTAAAATTTTAACATTTCCTTAAGTCAGAAACTAAGAAAATATGTTTTTCTTTAGATAAAACATTAGGTACCTGTGAGATGTCATTTTACTAATTTTTCTCAATGAATCAGATGTCTTTCTACTAATTTTTCTCAATGAATCTCCGATATTATGTTACTCTGTAGTCTTAGGATGCAATTCATGAACAAATTAAAAAATAATTTCTAGCATGATGTATTAAAATACATGTGTAAATATTGAGTTAGATAATCTGTTTGATTTGGCCTAAAAGGAGTGTTATCAAAACTATCTCCTAGCTCAGCTAAGAAGATATTTGCTTTTCTCAAGCCAATGCCTGAAAGTTTGGCTCATAGGCACATTATGGTCAAGTAGTAGGAAATGAAAACCTCAATTACCTCAGGGAATGCTTAAGGAAATGGGAAAAACAAAAACAAAAACTTGTCTACCAGTTCTAAAAGAGGCAAGAGGAGAGTTTATTGAAATTTCAGTTCATAGCCTTTTCTGTCTGGGCTGGTTTCAAGTCATGACCCTCACATCTTAGTCATTTTGAGTAGCTAGGATTATAGTTGTGAGCTACTAGCACTGGCTTAAGTTTTTTTTTTTCTTTTTTGTTTTTTCCAGGGCTGAGGACCGAACCCAGGGCCTTGCGTGTGCCAGGCAGGCGCCCTTCCGCTGAGCTAAACTCCCAGCCTCTGGCTTAAGTTTTATCATTTCAACAAGTCATTCTTGATTTTCATCATGCTTGGGGTTGGCAGGCAGAGAAATCCATGTGACTCCTTCCTTAGACTTCTTGATGGTCTTATTAAAGAGGGCTGACAATGAGAACCTGAAGTCTGCAGACTGAATGAGCCTTTTAAAAGCCAAACACCTATTCATACTTGGTTTTCATGGAGACCTGATATGTGAAACACTGTCAAATGAAACAAATAGAAGTGAAGGGTAAGAGAAGGGTAAGACCGCTTATCTGTTTACTAGGGAGATGAGGAAATTTCCAGAGAATTATGGAGAGGAGGAGCCAAGTCAATTCACCACAAAGCCTGCAATGTACTCTAGTGCTGTCCCGCAAGACATTGCTATTCACGAGGAAGAAGCTTTGTGAAAAACTCAAGCCTCATGGGGGGGGGGGAAGGGGGGTGGGGAAACAAAGGAGGAGGCTACAATGCCTGATAAGAAATGTACTCATTATCTTGCCCATGTAATTGTAATCCCTCTGTACAGTATTTTCACAATAAAAAAAAATAAAAGAAAAACTCAAGCCTCATGTATTCTGATTAGTTATCTTTCAGAGTTTAAAAGGCGCATGCCTGTAATCCTAGCTACTCAAGAGGCTGAGGCAGGAGGATCATGGAATTTGAGAGCAGCCTGAGCTACATGGGCAAGACCACATTTCAAAACAAAAGCAAAAAAACTTCAAACAGCATTTGGGATATTTGGTGAAGGTTAAGGCCGCTAGGGGTCAGGGGCTCTGCTTATTGTGACTGTGAGGTGGCTCTCACCGTTTTTGTGCATGGTGGCTTCCTGTGTGGCCACAGAGGGCAGTCCTTCCATCATGGAGGTCCACTGTTTGAAACGAGACTCAGTCCCAGCCTCCTTCCCACCAACCATGCCATAGTCCATACCGCCAGAGCTGAAGCCTGAAATGGAGAACCAGGGTTATCTCTTTCCTGTATTTCTCACATCAATGCTAATTCTCAGGCAGAAACCATGAACAACACCATCATTCGCAAGCTAATTTATAAAGCTTCGATTCAAAACTCTGATCTTGGCTCATGCTAAAAAGATGTCGCCTCTTTGTTAATGTGTGAAAAGGTATGTCCTTGCCATCTAATTTAGCCCATTCTCAGGGCCTGTGTGTACCTACTTTGTCACCAATTAAGCATTTATGTCACAGTCCACTGGAAAGTACTCTGCAGCTGAAATGGAGAACACAAATAGAAGAATACATGGCAGCAGCAATGATGGGTTGGCATGGGTACTTTGGAGAGAAAAGGCCAATAAGTCTCTGACTCATTACTTATACCAAGTGTGTTTAGGGAATGGTGAGAAGTTCAATGGAAAGCAATTCCCTGTCTATGGAGAAGTAACAAGAAGTAAGGAAGTGTAGCAGAGATGGGGAAAGCCATGTCACGGAAAGCCTTTACATGTTAGGTCTAGGAAGGCAACTAGGTTTGTGTTTTAGAAAGAAAAACTGCCAGGGTGAGGAAGGGACACATGGGGTTATGGCAGAATCTGAAAGACCAACTTGAAAGTCTTCTCATGAAGATCCTAGAGCTAGAAGATGCAGTTAGGGAGAGGTTCCAAGTTCATGGCGTGATAAGCCCTGCTTAAGACCCAGTTGTAGGGATCTTAGCAAGAGTCACAGTGAGCAACATTCCCCAATGTCCCACCACACAGCACTGCAGAGGTGAAAGCACACAAACACTGGTAAGAATCTCACGGGGCTTCTCATCTTGTTTTCCACTTGAGCGAGAATGTACATAAAGATTCTTCAGCCAGGCACCAGTGGCTCACGCCTGTAATCCTAGCTACTTGGGAAAGTAAGATCTGAGGACTGTGGTTCAAAGCCAGCCTGAGCAGGAAAGCCCATGAGACTCTTATCTCAATAAACTAACAAAAATTCGGAAGGAGAGCTATGGCTTAAGTAGTACAGTACTACCCTTGAGGAAATAGCAGCTTAGGAACAGTGCCCAGTTCCTGAGTTCAAGCCCTAGGACAAGGAAAAGAAAAAAAAATTTTTTCAAATTGACTCTCAAGAAGTGAAATTAATGCCAGGCACTGGTGGCTCACGCTTGGAATCCTGGCTACTCAGGTGCTGGGATCTGAGGATTGCGGTTTGAAGCCAGCCCAGGCAGAAAAGTCCCCATGAGACTCTTCTCTCCAATTAACCACTCAAAAATCAGAAGTGGAGTTGTGGCTCAAAGTGTCTGTAGAGCGTTTGCCTTGAGTGAAAGAGCTCAGGGACAGCACCCAGGGCCTGGGTTCAAGCCCCACAACCACCAAAAAAAAAAAAAAAAAGTGAAATTAAAGAGTGCAGGGATGAAGAACAAACAGCCACTGAGAAATGATAATGATGGAGAATGAGTGGAAAGCCAGTGGTGGTAACAGTACTTAAGATACTTTATCAAAACCAAAGTTCCTGAGAACCAAGTGCTTTCCTTGTATTTCTCTAGTTCCCAAATTCAGGGCCTTCACCCCATTCAAACAAGCCATTTAGTTCAGTTCAATCCATATTCATACAGAGCCTAATTCATGCCAGGCTCTGAATTGGGAGTCAAGGTACAAGTAGAAAGAACATGTCTCTTGCCTTTGCTCAGACTTATTTCACCAGAACATGCCTTTTACTTACCATTCTTGCAAGTACAACTGACCTCATCTGTTTCTGTCACAACCTCATTCTCCACCACACACTCCTTAAGTCATCTTCTACTCATCACTACTACCTGGCTCAGTTCTTATATCCTCCTAAGACTAATTACATCTCTACTTCCTTTCTCTCTTATGTCCACTTATTTTGTTGTGCACTGAAAACAACTATGGGTTTTGGTGGTGTCATTCAGTGCCTGGCATGGATGAAGCTTCATCCTAACTCTACAGGCAGAGTGGGGGTCTGGAGGACTACTTTTATAACAGAAACATCTTCCTATAACTGCTGATCCTTCTACAGTACCATGCCAGTACGAACATCTTAGATATGCATTTCTCTTCTTCCATGTTTACAATTCCCATGCCACAGCACTATTCTTCACTAGGCATACCAGAAGAATAGTATAAAATTTGATACATTTTTATGTTTTTATTATTCATTAATTGTTAGTATTGGAGCTTGAACTCAAGGCCTTGTCCTGAGCTTCAATGGCTTTACTTTATCACATTAGCCATACTTCTACTTTCTGCTTTTTGCTGGCTAATTGGAGTAAGAATTTTATGGATTTGTCTGCTTGGGTTGGCCTCAAACTGGCTTAGAATTGCAATTCTCAGATCTTGGCCACCTGAGAAGCTAGAATTATAGACATTAGCCATGAGTAACTAGTTAAAATTTGATATGTTAAACATAAAAATAAAAAGACAAAGAAAATTGTTACTGGAAATGCCTTTTTTCTTTTTGCAGCACTGGAGTTTGATTTTAGGGATTTATGTTTGCTAGGTTAACACTCTACCCCTTCAGTAGTCATACATATAAGATGGGAACAAAGTTGGACACTGGTGGCTCATACCTGTAATCCTAGCTACTCAGGAGGCTGAAATCTGAGGATTGAGGTGAGGTATAAAGCCAGGCTAGGCAGGAAAGTCTGTGAGACTCTTATCTCCAATTAACCATCAGAAAACCAAAAACTGGAAGTGACACTATGGCTCAAAGTGGTAGAGCACCTTGAACAGAAAAAATTCAGGGACAGCACCCAGGCTCCAAGTTCAAGCCCTACCACTGAGAAAAAAAAAAAGGGGGGGGGGACAAGAATTATCACATCATTTAATTATCTGGATTTCTTTTCAGATATAGGTCCTTCCCTCTGGCTCAATAACAACACAATTTGTTCATATCTGAACATTTAGATATGTTTTCAATTTTGCTAAAAGCAAAGAATAGGAAACTACAAAAGAATCAATGAGGACTGCTTTAGCAGTTATTCTATTTTGAGTTGTGTGTGTGGTACTGGTTGTAGGGCTTGAACTCTGGGCCTGGGCTGGGGTTTGACCTAAGGGCCTTGAACTTGCTTGGCTTGCTTGCTCAGCTAATACTTCATCACTTAGGTCATGCTCCAGTTTGGCTGTTTTGCTACGGTTTGAACCATTCTTCCAGTTCTGGCTTCTTGCTAGAACCTTGGTAGTCAGATCTCCTCAGCCTCTAGAGTAGCTCGGATTACAGTCTTGAGCCACCAGTGCCCAGCTCTTGTTTAGTTTTAACTTTTATTTTGAATCACTGTTGCCTTACTGACTTGATTCTGCTTACAGCACATTTCTCATTTCTAAAAGCGTTATGATTTGCCTGCCAAAAAATTCTTAATGAATGTCAAAAGTATAGCCTTACTGGTGCTAATTCTATTTAAATCCTATGAAATCATAACATTAGATAAGTTTTTTTATCTGCCTTAAAATTTTAGTTTTTCATTTTTCCATGGCAATTTTATCACTTGAGTCAAACACTTCAACTTGTACATATTTTAATAGATTACAACATAAGCCATTTGTAGCAATCACAGCACATGCAAACACTTCAACTGGCTTTCAAAACCTGCTGTTGGAAGGAGAGCAGTTTGGCCTTTACAAACAAGTTACACTATTAGGCTGTGTTAGAGCCAGAGCGGCCGGCCTGTCTTTGCTATATACTAGCTGTGTGGTGAGCCTGGGAAAGCAATCAGGGCTTGAGAGCCTCAGACTTCACAATTTCATCTGCAACCAGGGAGAAGAACTGTTTTCTGCCTTGTAACCTTGTACGGCTATTGTAAAAATGAAGGGTCATGAGTTCAACCCCCATTAGAGGCTTAGACAAGTGGATTTTGAAAAAAAGGTACTTTTGACTATGATTAACATACCAGAACCATATCCAGGGATTGGCCCTTTGGTCTGAAGGTCTGGTAGCCCCACATTCAGTGCGTTGGGTACCATGTTGTCCAGATGTGGCTTGGGCCCAACCGGATGAGAGGGTGAGTGCTTCATGCTCGGTGGCCGTTGTTGCTGCTGTTGCTGCTGCTGTAGTGCGCTCACCATTCGAGCCAGCTGAAGGCATAGCAGCCAGATCAAGGAGGGGCCCAGGAGAAACAGAGACACACGATAAGCCAGTGCTCCAAATGTCTCTCTAGTGGTTAAGCCAAGAGGCAGTCTCAGAGACCCTCCCCACCGAGGTACCTGCTGCTCTTGCTGCTGGCGCACTGCTTGAGAAATCTTTCTCTGGTTCTGTAGCAACTGCTGCTGCTGCTGCTGCTGCAGGAGAAGCTGACAAGCCTGCAAAACCCAGAGAGAAGAGAAGAGGGGTCCAGGGCTTCCTAAGACTGACTGGCTGAGAACACTGGAAGGGTTTCGACTGCAGCGCAAGTCACTGGTCAAAAGCATCGGTAAGGGAGGCACTGATGAATTCCTGGTCTACTGGTTAAGTTTACTGTCAGGCGAAGTGATATAGCAACCTTGAAGCATGCTCAGTCATTTGTATACAAGTTTGAACATAAAAAGTGACAAACATAAAAAGTGACAAAGACACAGAAGATAGGAAGCTAATGACCTTTTCAGATACAGGAAGCACACTTGCTACTTACCAACTGGAACTGGGGGATTTGTGGAAGCTGGCTCAGCATGGCAATTTGTTGAGGAGATAACTGGGGCCCCACGTTGAAAAGACCTGGATTCAGGCCACTGTTGGGAAACTGCTTGAGCATTGAGGCAGAAACCTAGTCAGAAAATAGGCAGGATGGGGTGGGTTTCTTAGAAATTCTCAAAACATTTTTTTCCCCTTCAATAAGAATTTTGACAGAATTAAAGCAAGTACTGTGAGTTTTTTTCCCCCCTCAAAAATATTTGTGAGAATGAAATTGAAACATCAACACTTTGTGTTTTGAGATGGGCTCTTTCTATATGGCTCTGAATGGTCCAGGACTATTTGACTCAAACAATCCTAGACTATCTCTGGCAGTGAGATTTTCTTTTGACTTTAAAATTTTCTACAATAAAAGAATAATTTAAAATTAGGAAAGTGTCTTCAAGAAAAAAATTATAATTGAAAAACTATTATTAGAAATGTGCCATAGGAAGTGGCGCTGTAGCTCAAGTGGTAGAGCGCTCGCCTTGAGCTGAAGAGCTGAGGAACAGCGCCCAGGCCCAGAGTTCAAGCCCCATGACCGACAAAAAAAAAAAAAAAAAAAAAAAAAAAGAAATGTGCCATAAAACAAAATATACCAAACAGCACAGAACTACTGAATACTTCCAAAAAAGTGTTTCTTTTTATACAAATAAGAACAATATATAAATAGGAAACACAGAAAGCCTGTGGCAAAGAGCCTGGAGGTTACTGGACTGGGTGGCTCCTTCTCTCTGGTTTTCTGGAATGAGCCAGGCAAGGCTGCTGGTAGCACTGGTGACAGAACTAAAGACTTCCTCCCATTTCTGACCAATCACTGAAGGTGCCTTCAGTGGGCTGAAATGAGATTCCCTGCACCATCATCTATGTAACTGGCTGCTCAGCCAGGCCAATCAGAGTAAAGATAACACTCTCCTCTGGAGTGGAACACAGCACTGATCAAGAGTTCAGCACTAGTGGGGCATGGTGGTGAGTACCTCTAGTTCCAGCTACTCAAGAGGCTGAGGCAGGAAGCTTGTTTGAGCTCAAGAGTCCTGGACACCATTTTGGGCAAAACAAAAGATCCCATTTATAAAACATCCAAAACAAAACTAGGTGTTGTGCTAAAGCAGCCTGCCTGGGCAGTCCAATTTCCTAGCAGCTTTGTTTCCACCAATGGAAGATGTGAATGACACCACTACCGAACGACTCAAATGCTTGTCTGAGCTCCTACAAGACTTGTGGCAGATGTGACAATCGTGTAAATGGAACACATACTCCAAAGTTCCCCCAAATAACAACCGTTTTTCATGGAGGCACACATTGGAGTTACATTGGCTACAAGCGGAGGGGCACCCAGACTTCCAGCAATGGCCACAGCTAGCTGAGAAGCTGGATGGATTCTCCCTCACAGTTTCCAGTGGGGAGCAACTTGCTACCACTTTGTTTAGATTTGTAACTATCAGAGAATGAGAGACTAGTTCTGTTGTATGAAGTCACAATTTGTAGTAAGTTGCTGTGGCAGCCCTAAATGTCCTTAAGTGTAAAGCACAAATCTGATAAGTGCATTAAAGAAAGTAGAATTTCAGTAATAATGTTAAGCACTAACTACATGATAAAATAATATTTTAGATAGACTGTGTTAAAGAATATATAATTAAATATAGTTAAAGGGTAGTGTGTATAACGATGTACACTGCTAAAATTTGTTTTAAGCTGGGAGCTGGAGGCTCACGCCTGTAATCCTAGCTACTCAGGGGGCTGAGATCTGAGGACTGCGGTTCAAAGCCAGCCCAGGCAGCAAAGTCCCGGAGACTCTTATCTCTAATTAACCACCAGAAAACCGGAAGTGGTGCTGTGGCTCAAGTGGCAGAGCATTAGCTTTGAGCTGAAGAGCTGAGGGACAGCGCCCAGGCCCAAAGTTCAAGCCTCACAACCGAAAAACGTTTTTTTATTTTATTTTTTTGTGTTCTCTTCATTTTTACATTTCACAAGTCAAGTTTTAGTACATTATCTGGTTTATGTTGTATTTTAATTAAACCGCATTGCTCTAATTATGAAGCAATTTCTAAATTCCTTTGCAAAATTTTCATCCATGATTCACGAGACTGCCTTTGCCTATTCTGCTTTTTAACCTGTTGGCCTCCAAAATAAATAGCCGTGACTCGCATTTCTCCTCCTTTCTCCATTCACTTTTAGCAGATGGTTTCTGGATCAATCTACCTCTCTCTTCAGTCTAGGGGTGGATACCATCCCCTGTTGACAGCCATATCTGTCACCCTCCCCCCAACCAGACCACTCCTCAAATTAAAGAAACCACCAAAGTAGACACCAAGAGAAGTGCATCCTATCAGACAAGTAGGAATATTCATAGCAGTACTGTTTATAATAGCAAAAAAAGAGAAATTATTTATGTTTATCAATAGTAGAAGCGGAAAAGTTAAACAAGTTATAATACATTCATATAAAGGGAGACATATGAACCACAGGTAGGAAAATTGTAGAAATAATGTCAAGCAAAAATAAGAAAAACAAGGGGAAGTGGGCATATATTATGTGGGATTATTACATAAAGTACAAAAAAAAAGGTAAAAATAAGACAAATTATATTGTTTAATGATACAGAAAGACAACAAAAAAGCACAGAATGGCATCTGTCTTGTCTATCTATCTATGCATGCTGGTACTGGAGTTGGAACTCAAGGCCTTGTACTTGTGTGGCTTGCTTGCTCATGGCTGATGTGCTACCATGAAAGCCATGTGCATTTTGCTAGTTATTTTGGAGAGAAAAGCTCATGAACTTTTAAGTCTTGCCTGGCTTTGAGCAGCAATCCCCCCAGATCTCAGTATATAAACCATCTGAATACAATTTTACGTTTGAATAGTGTCACCACATATGTTGTAGAACTTGCCTGCTGAGATAATCAATGTTATACTTCTGAGGACTTCCTAACTAGCCTTGCTCAACTCTTCTGCAGGTTGCACGCACGTACACAGTCTTCCTCTTTTGTTACAGCAGGACTGGAGAGAAGTACTATTAAATTCCTGGCAAACGGCTGTCTGTACCTGGCATGCAGCATAATTAAAGTGCACATCTGCACATTCCTCTTGCACAGAGTTAATTATGCTGGCTTAAAACCCCTTCAGTCTCCAGCTGAGCAGTAGAAAGTGAAGCTCTTGTAATCAATATGTACTTAATGAAAGCACTGCAGGTACAAAATGACAGCAATTGAAGGCAAGACAGAAAGCCTGCTGGAATGTGTTACTCTGAATTCTTGAGTGACAGGAGGGACAAAGCAATTGTAAAGACAAGGTGGTCTTAACAACTCCCTAGCCCCAGTGTTGTGGACAGAACTTAGTTCCTCACATATGTGAGGCAAACACCTACTACCCAGCTATACTCTCACCATTGTAACAAATCTTAGACAAGTTTCAGTGTCTGCTGTCTATACTTAGATTAAATACTAGCTGCCCTTGTAAAGTGGTCCAAATGGATTTGAAATCCAATGTTTACAAAAACTTTTAAAACTGTTCATGTTTGCTGGATGCTGATGGCTCAGACCTATAATCCTACTCAGGAAGCTGAGATCTGAGGATTGAGATTTGAAATCAGCACCTGCAGGAAAGTCCATGAGATTCTTATCTCCAATTAACCACCAAAAAGCCAGAAATGGAGCTCTGGCTCAAGTGGTAGAGCACCAGCCTGGAGCAAAAAAAGCTAAAGGACAGAGCCCAAGCTCTAAGTTCAAGCGCGCACACACACACACACACTTTTTCTCTGATCCAATTTTTATTCTGGGCAAGTAAGTTTGGAAAACAAGCCAGGTATGGTTGATGCTTACCTAAACCAGCAGAGGCAAGAGAATCACAAGTTCAAAATAAAACAAATGTATAATATGGTAAGAATTTCCTAGCAGCATTACTTACAGTGAAAATTTAGAAGTATTTTTTTTTTTTTTGGGGGGGGGGGGGGGGGAGGTCCGGTTGTGGGGCCTGAACCCTGGGCCTGGACGCTGTCCCACAGCTCTTCAGCTCAAGGCTAGCGCTCTACCACTTGAGCCTCAGCACCACTTCTGGCTTTTTTTTTCTGCTTATGTGGTGCTGAGGAATCGAACTCAGGGCCTCATGCATGCAAGGCAAGCGCTCTACCACTGAGCCACCTCCCCAGCCCTAATTTAGAAGTATTTTAAAAGCCATTAATGCTGGAAAGAAAGTGTCAAGTAAATCATAGTACACATACCTGGTAATACATCAGTAAGAATGATCAATATGGGCTAAGGCTGTAGCTCAGTGCTAGAGCCCAGGGCTCTCTCCCCAGCACCAACAGAAAACAAAACAAAACCTACTTAGTAAGTATGAAATCCTAAGTTCAAACCAGTGCTGCCAAAAAAATTATAGGCCAGGAGAAAACACTAAGCACTGGGACACAATTTCAACAATAGCAGCTTTTAGTGAACTGTATGCCTGTACTTGTACGAAGTCTGAACAAGGGTTGAGAATTTCTAGAATTTTTTTTTGCATATGCAAGTTTTTTTGTTTTTGTCTTTTTTTTTGTTTTTACCAGTCCTATGGCTTGAACTCAGGGCCTGGGCACTGTCACTGGTGCTCAAGGCTAGCACTCTACCCACCACTTGAGCCACAGTGCCACTTCTGACACTTTTTCTGTGTATGTGGTACTGAATCCAGGGCTTCATGAATGCTAGACAAACACTCTACCACTAAGCCACATTCCTAGCCCCGCATATGTAAGTTTTCAGTGTAGTTACCTTGTCTTAATTTTTAAAAAGAGCTATCCCACTTTTTTTTAAAATACAGAAATGTCATTTTATTTTATTTTTTTGGGTCCGGTCATGGGGCCTGAACTATGGGCCTGGGCACTGTCCCTCACCTCTTCAGCTTAAGACTAATGCTCTACCACTTGAGCCACAGCGCCACTTCCGGCTTTTTTCTTTTTTTGCTTATGTGGTGCTGAGGAATCGAACCTAGGGCCTCATGCATGCAAGGCAAGCACTCTACTACTGAGCCACCTTCCCAGCCCAGAAATGTCATTTTTAAAAAGGGCATTTTATTAGTTAATATTCTGCCTGCATTGTGTATTAAAACAGTGTTATCTACGTTTTGATAAATTAGAAAGAATTCGTGTACACACAAGCACTTTTCTTTTTGTAAGCCGAGCAGGGTACCTTGGGCAGAGGCATTTGAAGCACCCAGGTCCTAACATCTGCACTCTAGAACTCATTCTGATATGCACTGTCCCAGGATGTGACACTTATTTACTGAGTTCAAAACATGGGCCAGGCCCAGCTGGAAATACTCAGGTTCGGGCAGTGAGCGAGGCCAACCAATCCGTGCCCCTGGAAGCCTGACACACTCCTATGCAAAGGAGAGAAAGACCACAGATAGAGGGAAATTCCAAAGAGGCAAAAGGTAAGTGACATGGTAGAAGTACATGGCACATAGCTAGGTCTGGGAAAAGGCTCTGATAAGGTAGTACTGACATGGAGATCCAATGGGAATAAAGATGGAGCAGAGGGGCGATCAGGGGAAGAGTGTCTAGGGGCAAGACTGGCATGTAGGGCCAGTTGGCTGAGAGGAATGAATGTATGAGACTGGTCACCAAGAACCATAAACACTGCACTTGTTGAGACAGTAAGCTGTGGTGGGACTCCATGTAAAGGAGCAAGGTGATCTATCTAGTGTTCTAGAGTAGTGCCATGGCAGAACTTTCTGCAATATTGAAATAGTACCATTTAAATTTAAGCTACATTTTAAATTAAGCTACATTTCAAGTGTTCTTGTGCTACTGGCTACTGGCAATGGCTTTACAGGACTTGTTTGACTCAGGCTGAGATGAACAGGGTGGGGCAGGCAGGAGGTCCCCAAATAGTCTAGGAGTTAGGGAGTGGCCTGACCAAGGACTAGACCAGTGGAGGTGGTAAGGGGACAGAGCCTTGATAAAGTGTGGAAGCAAGGGTTTGTTGGATAGAATATAGACCTTGAGAGGGCTGGGAATGTGGCTTAGTGGTAGAGTGCTTGCCTCGCATACATGAAGCCCAGGGTGTTTTGATTCCTCAGTACCACATACAGTAAAAGCTGAAAGTGGTGCTGTGACTTAAGTGGTAGAATGCTAGCCTTGAGCAAAAGAAGCTAAAAGACAGTGCCCAGGCCCAGAGTTCAAGCCTCAAGACTGGCATTAAAAACAAACAAACAAAACCATATAGACCATGAGAGGTCCCATCCTGGCCTGAGCCTTTGGTCTGAACCACTGCAGAATGGGGCCTACTTACTTGGATGAAGGTGTTTTTCAGAATAGGAAGCTCAGTTGGTATGTTAACTGGAGGTGCCTATAAGGCATCCTAGTGAAGATGCCCAGCAATCCTTGAAGCTGAGAAAAAGTGGGGGCTACAGACACAAAGTTTGAACGTAAGTCACTCCATTAGGTGAGATCATCAAGAGAGGTTTAAGAGGTGAGGCTGGAAGCCTGTGACAGAAAAATAACCTGTAAAGATGGTGGAGAGACAAGAACCCACCTAGTGCTGGAAAGACAATTAAATCAGAGGGGAGAAAGGGTAAGCGCTGCCCACATATGCTAAAAAGAGGCAGGAAGGCAGGACAATGGGGTCCTGTACCATGGAGATGAGAGAGGAGCTGGTTACAAGAGTGCCCACATATCATCACTCCCTGGCCTGTGCTCCTGTGCTCTGGAGCCTGCACCAGCCCAACACAGCCTCCATCTCTGCTAGTGTTAGAGCATTATGCTGTGACTACACAGATGAAAGGCCTTGTTCACCCTCCACTATCTCTAGCAATAGTCAAAATTTAGGGTGCACATAATAACTACCTGAGGTGATCAGGCCAAGGTAGAAAGTCAAGAGCAAAGTAAACAAAGCTTTGCCAAATTCTGCTGCAAACTCCTCCCACAGAGATTCTGTTGCTTCACTGGAAGGCCAGTGTAATCTGTCTGTGTCTAGAAACTCTGACTTCTTCTCTAAGACTCACTTAAAATGTCACTGCTAGGGAAAAGCCTCGACCAATTCCAGAAACTGTTGTACATGCTTTTCTTTTTAGCAGTACTGGAGTTTGAACTCAGGGCCCTGACCACTTGAGCCACTCCCAGTTCTTTGCTGCAGTTATGTTTTTGAACAGGGTCTTGTGTTATGTTAATCATAGGACTATGATTGTCCTAATGTCATTTCCCACACAGCTGGATGACAAAGACAAGTACATGCTACCATGCCCACCTTTATTTGAAATGGGGTCCTGTGACATTTTTTTTTCTTATGTCTGTCGTGGGACTTGAACTCTGGGCTTGGGTGCTGTCCCTGTGCTTTTCAGCTCAAGGCTAGCACTCTACTCTACCACTTGAGCCACAGCACCACTTCCAGTTTTCTGGTGGTTTATTGGACGTAAGAGTCTCACAGACTTTTCTGCCCGGGCTGGCTTTGAACAGTGATCCACAGATCTCAGCATCCTGAGTAGCTAGGATTACAGGCCTAACATTTTGTTTTATGAGGTTGATCTTAGCTCATGATCCTCTCTATCTCCTCCCAAGTAACTAGGATTATAGGAATGAGCTGGCCTAGCTTGTTAACTGAGATAAAGTCTTGCTAACTTTTTGCTTGGGTGAGCCTTGAACCAAATCCTCCTGCTCTTTACCTCCTAAATAGCTTGGATTACAGGCAAGCGCTACCACTCCTGCCTCTACTGAACCTTAAACTGTACAAGGGACACCTCATTGTAACATTTCTATGTAGGCATATAATGTATCCCTATCAACTCATCTCTCTATCACTCATCCTTATCCCTCACTTTAAAGTAACTTCAATAGATTTCATCTTTCTATTTTAGGAAATAAACTTTGGCTATATTCATCCTCATTCATCCTCTTTATTGGCCTTTCTGCTTCCTGTTGGTACCAGTTCCATTCTCCAACAGAGATTGTTTTACATTCTTGTTTTTTGTTTGTTTTTTGGGGTCCGTCGTGGTGCTTGAACTCTGGGCCTGGGCGCTGTCCCTGTGCTCTTCAGCTCAAGGCAAGCGCTCTACCCCTTGAGCCACAGTGCCACTTCTGGTTTTCTAGTGGTTTATTGGAGATAAGAGTCTCACAGACTTTCCTACTTGGGCTGGCTTTGAACTGTGATCCTCAGATCTCAGCCTCCTGAGTAGCTAGGATTACAGGCGTGAGCCACCAGTGCATGGCTGAGAATGTTTTACATTCTTGTCCTTCATTTTTTCAAAAGTGTGTACTAACTGCACTCAGGGATGTCCCATGGCATTTTTGGCATGTATGTATATTTTCATCAGAATTTTTCTGCTGAACATGTTATACAATATCTATCACACTTACTATCTGTTGTCTACTGGGTTTTCAGAGCATGTGTAACCTCCCTGACAGTGAACTGAGCATCTCTGAGGGAGAAGCAGACCTAAACATTTCCTGTGACATCTAAGGACTGACTCCTCCACACAGCTGCTCCAAGAGTAAGATGTCCGCCCAGGCATCTTTGTTTTTTCATTAGTTCTACAACCCCAGAGTATCAACTCAATAGTTTAGCAAATAGCTCCTCAGAATTTTTCAAAATAACCTAGAATCTGGAAACTCTCTTGTTCATATGTGGGTGAATCCTTGAGGACAACCAGCCTCCGAGAGTTGTAGCATTTCCATTAATAGTCTTACTTGTGTATATAAATATTACAAAGATAACTAAGAGAAGACGTAAAAGGAACAGAATGAAAATGCTTTTCATGAAAAAATATCTACTTTGTTTGCATGCATGATGCAATAAAAGAGATGTGATATTTTGTTCTAAAAATCTTGAAGTTGGTTTAATTTTAGACTAGTAATCATCACTCTGTTCATGCCTATAAAACCAGTCACTTCTCATTTAGTAACTGGTAACCACCTGGTCTTTAAAATCAAAAGTGTGGACACGACGGCCACCAGTGGCTCACACCCATAATCCTAGCTACTAAGGAGGCTGAGATCTGAGGATTGCAGTTCAAAAGCCAGCCTGGGCAGGAATGTCCATGAGACTCTGATCTCCAATTAACCTGCAAAAAAGCTGGAAGTGGCGCTGTGGCTCAAGTGGTAGAGCACCAGACTTGAGCAAAAGAAGCTCAGGGACAGCACCTAGGTCCCATGTTCAAGTTCCAGGACTGGCAAATTACAACAACAACAACTGTGGACCCGTGAAATTGCTTACCTGGGGGGAGATAAACTGGGGAGGCACTTGCGCCCGGAGACCAGGAGAAGAACTCAGCGGCTGCACTGGTGTGTGCAGGCCCCTCGATTGTGCTGTGCTGTTTCCAAATAAACCATGATTGCCGCCCTGTAGAAATAAGAGCACCAGTAAGGCTTTTTGTCAATGAGAGCAAACGCAAGTAAGAAGCAATTTTGGTTTCTGTCCCTCAGAAGAATCATGGTCTGTGTTCCATGCAATTACAGCATTGTATAACTGAGATGCTTCTCATCTGGGAACGCTGGGGCAGCTATGCAAATCAGTTCACAGGCATATCATTCACCAGCTGTGCAGGCTAATGAACTCTACAAACTGAAAGAGTTAAAACTTAGCCAGACGTTAGAATCGGCACTACATTTTCTTTTATGATTAAAAGGTATAAACAGTGTAAGATTAAGCTGAACGACTTTGTGTTTTAGTGGTACTGGGGTTCTCGCTTGCCAGGCAGGTGCTCTTCTATGGCTTGAGTACCCTTCTAGCCCTCAATGAGGTGATCAAATTTGTCCTTAAACTTGATCTTAAAAGGCACCTGCATAAAAATACATGCTTATCCTATCAATTGTAAAATAACATTACAATGGGATAATTGAACCATGTCATTACTGCCATGGTGGTGAGCCTATTATCATGAGGACCCTACTCCAGCCTGAACCCCTTTCTTTACCCAGGACTTGTGACCCCTTCTTTACTAGATGAGGAAATGTCAATCAATCACACAGTGAGATAAAAAGGGAAGAAAGGGAAACAGTAAAAATTGTTTCAGGGATACTAAAATGAACATTACTCACCTGTAACTTCTCATTCCAATGTTTGGATATCAGTCTAGTTACAAATAAGCTTCACCTCCTGATTCTTGAGGGCTCACCGCACTGAGCACCTCACTACCCTTCCACTGAGTTGGAGAAAGCTGGGCTCAAAGGGTGATTGCGCCTTCCTGATTTTGATAACCCAACACTGTTACCTCCTTTGCCTAAAGTTACTTTTTAAATTTGTTTTAGAGATGGGAGGGGCTCTCCCTCCATGGAGCCCAGGGCTAGCTTCAAATTTGTGCTCTTCCTGCTTCTGCTTCCTGAGTGCTAGGGTTACAGTAGTAAGTCATCTTGCCCCATTTCCTGAGGTTCTTTTCTACATCATATCCTCTTGACCTTTTCAAGGCCTGGGTCAGAGGTCACTGTGAAGGTCTTCTCCCCTAAACCTTCTTCCCCATTCCACATGCATTCCACTAGTTCATCTCTTTGTCATCCAAGCACTGGAACATTGTGATGATACCATCAAACTGTTAAGAGTTACTTTCATTCTACCTTTCACCACCAGCTCAACCCTTGAGTTTTCCTACTCCCAGAGCCCTAGTCTGTAAGATGGACATGTCATTTGAGGTATCCTGAAACATCCCACTGAGCAGCTTCAACAAAGAAAGCTGCAGCACTGTTTAAACTCAGCGTGTGAACTCTCAGGTCACCACCTTCAGCTTGCCATAGGGATGACTATTTTAAAGAATTTGTTAAAAGCACCGAAAAGTTCTAGAACATTAAAGGTACTTTGATGGCTTTAATGATTCAAAAATAGATTAAAGGGATTGCTTTAGGCAAATCAATAAACTTAAAAGCACTAAAAATAAAAATGATTATAAACAAAGTAGAAATGGCAATTCAAATCTGTGTGTTTCATAAAAAGAAAAAGAAACCCAACATGAATTTTATGTCTTCAAATGGTTGCTTAAATATGAGAAGATCTTTAATTCTAGAGACTAATACTCCTACTCACCCTGTCTAAACTCATCAGATTTGTCACATGAAGGATAGATCAGTTCTAAGTTTTCTTTGTTCTGATAACTGGATGGTTTGACTGAACATCACCCAAAAAAGAGGATTAAGTTTAAAGTAATGACCTTGATACTAAAGGTCATTTATTCATGACTGGTCCTTAGATGGTGAAGTTATAGGAAGCTATAATCTTTGCCAGAGTTTGTTTTGGCAAGTATGAAATTATTTTTTTAGTGGGGAGGTGCTGGGTCTTAAAGCTGGGGCCTCACACATGGTAAACATGTGTTCTATCTCTGAACCACATGCCTGCTCCTGAGAGTCATTCTAATGCTACTACAGACTTTGAGATGAAAGCTTGCTATGGAGTTGCCAAGACTGGCCTTGCACGTCTGGACTCAAGAAATTCTGCTTTATCAGCCTCCTAGGTAACTGGAACTACCGGTACATATCACGGCACCTGGATTAGTCACATTAATTTCAAACTTTGTTTTGATAAGTAGTATTTAAAATAATGTGCTTCTTTAGAAGTTTTTTATAAAATTAAGAACTGCTTCCCTCTTAGCTGATAAACTCCTCCCTTCCCAAATAAAGTCCAAGTACCTCTGAAGCCACATGCAGCACTGGTATTAACCTGAAATGGAAATAAGTAAGGCAATTGCAGTCTATCAAAGAGGCTGTTTATCAAAGAGGCTCTTTACTTGGGTTTGAACTCATGATGTTGAGTCTTGAGCTTGCTAGGCAAATTACTCTACTACTAGAGACAATAACTGTATTTTCTCTCTTTTGCCTTAGTCCTGGCCTCTGAACTCAGGACCTTGCACTTCTAGGCAGGCACTCTACCATTTGTGGTACACCCTCAGCCCTACCAATATCTTTTTTTTTTTTTGTCGGTCGTGGGGCTTGAACTCGGGGCCTGGGCGCTGTCCCTCAGCTCTTCAGCTCAAGACAAGCGCTCTACCACTTGAGCTACAGCGCCACTTCCGGTTTTCTGGTGGTTTATTGGAGATAAGAGTCTCACGGTCTCTCCTGCCCGGGCTGGCTTTGAACCGCGATCCTCAGATCTCAGCCTCCTGAGTAGCTAGGATTACAGGTGTGAGCCACCAGCGCCCGGCTCCTACCAATATCTTAAAATGGAATCCTGGCATTAAAACAGCTCATTTTCTTGGCCCAGATATATTGTTTTACACAGTGAGGAATTAGGGGCAATCATAAATATGAGGCCTTTAAAAAAATTAAATTTAGAAATTAGGACAAAGGTAGTACAAAGTGTTTATATATGCTAATATTAGATGATCTCCTGTAAATAAATAAAACTTGTGGCTTTATGTGTGGCTTCTAAAATGATCTGAGTCCCCAGAGTTATCTGCCTCAACCTCAGGGTTTAATTCACAGAAGCATAAAAATTTTTAACAAATCGTCAAGCTGACTGAAATGGTCTGTGAGTTAGAAAACTTTTTTTTTGGGGGGGGGGGGGGGCGGGGGGCTGGTCATGGGGCTTGACCTATGGCCTAGGCCACAGGCCCTGTCCTTGGGCTCCACTTTGCTCATTGCTCAAGGCTAGTGCTCTGTCACTTGAGCCATAGCACCATTTCCAACTTTTTTTGTGATTAGGTAGAGATAAGTCTCACAGACTTTCCTACCCAGACTGGCTTTGAACTGTGATCCTTACATTTCAGCCTCCTAAGTAGCTAGGATTATAGGTGTCAGCCACCGGCACCTAGCAAATCAAAACTTCAAATGTTATTTTTTAAACTTTTTTTTTCTTTTTTTTTTTTGGGGGGGGGGGGGGTCCGGTCGTGGGGCCTGAACTCTGGGCCTGGGCGCTGTCCCTCAGCTCTTCAGCTCAAGGCTAGCGCTCTACCACTTGAGCCACAGCGCCACTTCCAGCTTTTTTCTTTTTGCTTATGTGGTGCTGAGGAATTGAACCCAGGGACTCATGCATACAAGGCAAGCACTCTACCACTGAGCCACCTTCCCAGCCCTAAACTTTTTTTTTTCCTAAATTGAACACAGGGCTTTGAACTTGTTAGGCAGGCACTCTACCACTTCAGTCATGCCTTCATCAACTTTTTGCATTGGTTATCTTCAAGGTGTTACTTTATTCTGGGGCTGCCCTAGGCTACAAACTTCCTAGTGTTGCTGGGAATGACAGGCGAGTGCCACTGTGCCCAGCCTGCCCCATAGCTGGGATGACAGGCATGTGCCAGTGTGCACAGCCATCTTAATCAAGATGGAATCTTTCAAACTTGGTTTTGCCAAGGTGGCCTTAAACTGTGATCCTCAATCTCTTCCTTCCATGTAGGATTACAGGTCTGAAACACTGTGCCTAGCTTAAATTTTCTTTTTAATATGAAGTGTATTCAAAACCCTTACCATAGAACCTGTGCACACACTGATAATAATAGACTTTGCATCAATCATATGCACTGATTGCAGCAATCCACAGATCCAAAATAAAGACGGCTTTAATCTTAAAAGTCCAATGCCAAACTGGCCTGGCTGTTTCATTATATTCCAGCTATGTAGTACACATAGATTACTGGATAATTATGTGATCTTGGAGCTACATTATTATGACTGTTTTATAGTTTCAATACGTCACCCAAAAATGAGTACTCAAAATATCTATGTTATTATTTTTCCCCTGTTTATATAAACAATACATAGCCATGTCCTCTGTAAGAGAACTGTGATAAACATCAAAATATTACGGCAGAAAATATAAAAAAAAAATCTACGATTCAGAAGTAACTAATCTGAAGACAGTATAATCCACTCTTAGAAATGTGTGAGTAACTACCAGAAGGCACAGAGGCCTGTGTGTCAGTTGGCTGGGCAATGTTGGATACCACTTTACCCCTCCTCTAACTTACACATGCAAGCCACATAAGACAAACTGGAAACACCTAATAATTACACAATGTATAATTAATGTCCTTCTGTGACTCTGAGGTGAAGAGCACAGTGGCAAGGGGGGGGCTCACAGGATGATGGCACACTTTCAGAATTACTGATGCAAAGGCACTGAGGCACCAAATTCCTGGCTTTCTACAAAAAAGTCAGAAGAGACTGTGGAGAGCCTGCCCTGCTATATCCCCTCCCTCAAGCCTGTGAGAGTGAGGAGGCCTGATCCAAGAAAACTGCAGACTCCATTTCTATTGTGCGAATCTTCCTTGCTTGGAGAACTGCCAGGTACAACCCTAGCAAAGGGCTGCTCCAGGTCTAATGGCCACACGTGAGCAATATGCACTCTTCTCAAAGCTCTACCATCTGTTACAAGTTGCTCTTCTCTGGGTAACAATTATCCTACTTCAAATTAAAAAAAACTAGATTAGCAATATGTGGTATTCTTCACTTAATCTTACAACTCTGTCCTTATTTTTTAGTAGGTATATTAAATGGAAGAAAAGACCTCCAAACCATGACTTATTACCCTATTTAATATTAAAAGTAGGTATACTGCTAAATTAGATTATATAAGGTACTTATATAGCCTTGTTAATATTTTCCTAAGTTATTTATCAGTTATTAAATATGAACTCATGATCAAAAATGAGAAGACAAAAGAAACACGTTTAAAATAAAGTCCATGTTGAGAAACATGAGAAGAGATGGTTCTATGGGCTGAAAGAGCTAAAACCTACACTTAATTATCATTCTGTGCATTCAGTAATCAACAAATTTCCCAAGACAGACAAATGATGCAATAAACTGAAGACCAGGGCCAAGGCGAGGCCTAGCCAAGCAGTTACAAATTTGAGAGGCCTCCTTACTTGTCTAGCAGCGAAGTTTTGGGGGTTGAGCCCTGTGCCGATTGCTCCAAGGCTGACGTTGGGTAGTGTGGAACCAGAGGGAGACAGCTTGTAGCTGGGAGAAGGGGAGAAGGGAGAGCAGGGAGCCTCATCCCCAAGGCACCCATCTTGATTGGAGAAAGGCAAAGTCAGCTGAAAGGTAGTAGGAGTTAGCCAATCACAATGAGTGTTGGTTAGTGAAGCAACAGAATGCAAGAAGGGAAAGAGAGAAACACTGGAATAAACAAAGTGACAGTGTATTAGCAGTAACCGAGGATGGAATTTGGATCTGATAATAAATCATACTTTGCCCAACGGAGACCATCTGTCATCCTCTTTGATATGATTTTTCCTTTTCCTCTAAGTTAGTAACACATTAAGTTCCATTGTATTACGGTAACAGTTGCCAGACCCTTTATTTTTATGTATCTAATATTGATTTCTCTGGCTGTGTGGCTCCTGAGACAGAAGCCAAGGCAATCTTGTTGTGAATATACTGTTGTCTGGACCAGTATCAATCTTATCAAAAGCAGTCAAATCTAAAAGTTTTAGTTGCTTCGTGAATATAAGGAACACTACAAATTGGTATTTTGAATCAAGGAATCATCTTCACTAAAAGTGTAAAATCAAAATCAGCGCATAAAAATAACCTATTTTAATCAGGTAGTTGAGAATTTGAAAAGTATCATTGTAACTAAAGATAAAGTACTAAGTGGGAAAGATAAAGTGGTTCCTCCCACTCTCCTGAAAAAAAAAAAAACCCTAGAAGTCAAAGCCTTAGGAGATACAAATGTCTGTACAAATCCCAAGTTCAGTTGGTAGTTAATAATAGTTTAAGAATGTAGCTAAGAACAGCAAGAAAAAATTAATTTGGAATAATTTCTTTCTAAAGTATTTCATGTTTTGTTTCCACTGTCTGTGAAACTTCATGAATATCCCAGAGCTTAAGACCTTCACCATGATACATACTAAAGACAGACGGTCCTAGCTCTTTCCAATCACCTTTTGACATGTATGTCTTCATGTCACCACATAAATGCAGGTGATGTTTGTGCTTTGTTCACTGAGTCCAGTAACTCAAATGCTTTTTTTCTAGAATCAATTTTAAAAGACAAAGAATAAAGCAGTTCTTGGGAACTATTACCTTAAACAAAGGATTCAACTCACCTTCTCAAAATAAGGCCCACTGTCTGTGGTTCCCAAGTCTTTGGAATTAGGTGGACGGAACCCAGATCGATCTTTCCTCATGATATCATTAAAATCCCCGAGATTCATTGCTCGCTTGTCCACATCAAATTTTTTATCTGAAAGAACAAAAGCAGGGTGAAAATTTTTGGAATCAATGAATGATCACAAGATCACTAAACCGATCTCAAGATCAGTGACTCAATCTCAAGAACCAAGAGTGACCTGGCCCACCCTGCTCTGTGGGGCGGGCACAAGCTCTTTTCTACTCTTGAGGATGAGACCAGGAGAGCTCTGGCTCTCACTGGTTCAGGGTCCTTTCATAGAAAAAAACCAAAACATCTATCTGCAAACATATCTGCTGTAGCTTGTCCTCTGTGGAGCTTAGGGACTAATCTAGCTAAGAAAATATTTAGACTGTGGTTACTGGTTTGATGAACACATCTTGCTCACAAAATTCAAATGTTCTCAGTGAGAGAAGTTGTCAGCTTTTGCTATTTAACATCTGCTAGATAAATGGTGCAGTTGTTGCCCTAAACTTTAAATTTTAAGAGCTGAACACAGCTGAATGTGTTCATAGTCTGACAGGCAAGATATAATCTCACAGGTGCAGGAGTTATTTCCACTTCCCCTTCACAGCTCTCTAAATCTGCTACTATACATTGACACGATCACAGCCCAAGGTTAGAAGATCAGACTACAGATTTCTCTTACCACCTACACTGTTTTCTAGGGTAGACAACAACACTGACCTCTATGCCCTTCTATTCAGAAAACATTCATTTGTAGTCTTTCCTGGATTTTTGCATGGAACCTTGAAAGTAAGTATTCAAAAAATGTCTGTCACTGAACTGCATCATCCCAACTCACACTAAACAAGAGATCCCAAAGCCCACCATCAGCTTCACTCCACTCCACTCCACTCCTAATGGCGGAGTGATACACACCTACAGACAAATCCATTTTGCTGCTTGGATTATCTTCAGTTTGACTCTGAAAAAAAGTAAAGAGGTAAAAGAGCATTAAACTGTACACACTTGAATCAGGAAAGGAGTTCTACCTTCATGTGAGAGCACATCTTACCACTGGCACTAAATCCTCTGACATGAATTCTACTCTGGGATGAGGACTGTAATGTTTTCTATATCATAGTCTCACTGAAACTCATGCCTATGCAGCTAAAGTCCAATCTTCACACACCATCAGCCTCAGTTAATCCACAGACAGAGCAACAATTCAACAGCTGCCGGGAGAAATAAACTCTCATCCTCAAGTTCCAGCTGGCCCAGGATCAGATCCCATGAGCAGCAGCCAAAGGATGACAATTTCTTGTGACTTGTCAAGTCATCAAGTCTTGAAACGTGCTGCCAACTCAAGTCAGTTGCTTTTTTGGCAACCAAGATCGGGTGCCTTCATAGAGTTCCCAAGAGATAAGACAACTAAAAATTCCCCACCTTTTCCCTAGATAATTAATCCCAGTATGGGTTTCCTAGTTACTATATTGTTATTTTAAAATTGTAATGTAAAAAGTGGTACAGCAATGTTGAGAATACAGTATACATTTTTAAGTGTCTGACTTCTTTTTTCCTACCCTCCCAAGATAGTAAATGTACAAGTCTTCAACTTTAAATACCAGTATATGTTATAAGAATAAAAGAATAGAAAACAAGCTCTGTATTACTATATATGGTAGTGGCCTTCAAATTAGTACTAAGCCTCAAATTTGAGACATTATACATAAAAGTGAAATAAAACTTACCAGCAATCCCATATTTGAAAACTGTTTGGCGAGAGGATTCATCCATGAATCATTGTTTCCTCCTTTGAGTGAGCACTACAGAAATGAAATATGGAACCTCAGAACCATGGATTTGTCTCAGCCTCCTACTGAAATGTAGGACCAAAAATTTACCTTTTTGAGCATTATTTCTGTTTGTCACTTTGATGGTTTACCTGTTAGCTGGCATGATTAGTAAGCCCTAGTTAACAGCTATGTCTTTGCTTAACTCCCAGTGCTGAACTAGATGTCACTAGAAAAACATGCGGTGCTTCTACTTTTCACATGGAAAGAAGTCACTGCCAGGTTTTGTAACACCCTGTGTCACTACTTCCACTGAAGAAGGAGCTCAGGGGCCAAGCTGGCTCATATAGAGAGAAAGACCGGTGTTGTCAGTGTGCATTATTTAGACAGGATCCTGCCCAAACCAGACATTACCCCAATGTGGACACAATGAGGAACTCATACAGGAGCACCTCATCTGCACGAAGGCCACTGATCCACAGAGGGAAAGAAACCTGGTGGAAGACATTGACATAAGCTCCTACATCAAGCAGAGCAGAGGTGGGTCTACATTTTTTAGTGAAACAAGCTGGTTTCTCTCCTGAACAAGGCAGCAGTGACAATCATCTCGCTCCATTTCCACTAGATGGGGATTTGATGGGATGGGAGACAATGAGCTAGGGTCAGATAAAAATATGTATGCGGTGACATCTGTCATATCAATCTTACTATTCTTTAAAGTGATAGGGCATTTGTTGTAAGGTGAAAAAAAGGTCCTCACTGGAGGCAAAGGAGAAAGGAAGCCATTTTTTTCTTCCTCTTTTTTTTTTTTTTTTTAAATTTTTGGTATGCTTTGTTTGTACTGAAATTTTAACTGAAGACCTACACTTGCTTGGCTGGTGCTCTACTATTTGAGCCACACTTCCAGCTTAGCCTTTGGTTATTTTGGAGATAAAATTTCTCAGGCTTTTTTGGTCTGGCTTAACTTCATTCTCCAGTTACTGGCTTCGTGAGCAGCCACAATTACAGTATGAGTCACCAGTGCCTAGCGAAGGCATTGTTTAATAGCTACAGAGTTTTCATTTCACAAAATGAATTGTGTGTGAACATACCTGATGCACTGAACTCTACATTTGAAGATGGTTAAGATGGTAAATTTGACCTTATGTGTATTTTATGACCATTAAAAAAAATAAAAGTGCCGGGAGCTGAAGGCTCACACCTATAATCCTATTCGGGAGGCTGAGATCTGAAGATTGTGATTTGAAAAGTCCTGTGAGACTCTTATCTACAGTTAACCTTCAAAAACCCAAAGTGGAGCTGTGGCTCAAAGTGGTAGAGTACTAGCATTGAGCAAAAAAGCTCAGGGATAGCATCTAGACCAGAGTTCAAGCCCAGAGCCAACAAACAATAAAAATAAACAAAAGTCTTTAGTGTAAGAGGTCAGAATTACTGTCACTGGAGCTGGAATATTAAGGGGTGACAGATGTCACTGCACAGATTTATTTTTATCTGCTCCTGAAGCTGACAATTAAGTCAATCTGAGGTGTCAGCTGAGTTGGGGATTCATTATCTTTTCATCAATCATTATCAGTATCTTTCATCCAGTTAGTGTAGACTCACTACTAATTTGTAAATGACCAAATAATGGACAAAAGTCTACTAGAACCTAAGGACATGTCTCAGCATCACGAGTAGCTAGGAGTCCAGGCATGAAGCACTGGCGCCTGGCCAAAAAGCATTTTTAAAGAGCGCACTGAGAGCTACCAACCAATTTGCAACATAAAAACCAAAAACAAAAGATCTTATATTTGAAAATCTATTTAACACACAGCAGCAAGACCTCAGTGTCACTGGTAAGGAGGATAAGGTAAGTACCCTTGGTTTCAAAGGAAATGTTTTCCCCTTTAGTTAGGATCTCAGAGATGCCAACTGTCTCTCTCTCTGCATTAATTCCGTTAATTCTCAGGTCTGCCTTCTAGGAATGAGTAAGCAAGCTCAAACATTTCAGAAGCAGGCTACCTTCATTTGCTTCTTCCCTCCTTGTCCCCAGCTTGCTGAGTTGTGGGAGGAAGCACTTCCCTGAGAGCCGGTGGTGTTCCAGACTCCTCCATCGTCCTCCTCTTCCCAGCTGGGATGGCGAGTTCCTGTGACCGGCCCATCACTCTCCCCCCAGCCATCTTGCATAGATTTGGAATCTTTAAGGAAAGAGTGATTAGCCCTTTTAAACAACTATATGTCAGAAAAACCAGAAAAATAATTTCCATCTAGATGTAGCATTTTAGGATTATATATATATATATATATATATATATATATATATATATATATATATATTTTTTTTTTTTTCCCCCAAGTCATGGGGCTTGAACTCTGGGCCTGGGTGGGCGCTGTCCCTCAGCTCTTGAGCTTAAGGCAAGTACTCTACCACTTGAGCCACAGAACCACTTCCCATTTTCTGGTGGTTTATTGGAGATAAGAGTTTCATGGCCTTTCCTGCCTGGGATGGCTTTGAACCATGATCCTCAGAACTCAGCCTCCTGAGTAGCTAGAATCACAGGCGTGAGCCACCAGCGCCCAGCCAGTATCTTTGTAATTTTATGCATTCCATCGAGATGGTAAGGCAAATGCTATCACTCGTATTCTAGAGAGTAAAGCCATGGACAGTACAATCAAAATCTTCTGATTTCTGGTTGAATGTTCACCTCCTCCCCCCATACTGAGTTCCCCAGGTACTCAGTAGACAGAAATTCCAAAACTGAAGACAGCTTATCACAATTAAACAAACTTAGCTCTTTTTTTTTCTTTTTGCTATTTAGTATCAGTCCTGGGGTTTGAATTCAAGGCCTGGGTGCTGTCCCTGAACATTTTGCTCAAGGAGAATACTCCATTACCTGAGCAACAATTCTACTTCCAGCTTTTTGGTGGTTAATTGGACATAAGCATATCACAGACTTTTCTGCCTAGGCTAGCTCCAACCATGATCCTTAGATCTTAGCCTCTTGAGTAGCTAGAATTACTGATGCCCAGCTTGGGTCCTTTTTTTTTTCTGTGGGGCTTTGAACTCAAGGTCTGGGCACTGTCCTTGATCTTTTTCACTCAAAGCTAGTGCTTTACAACTTTGAACCACAGTACCACTTCCGGTTTTCTGGTGGTTAATTGTAGATAAGAGTCTCAAGGACTTTCCTGCCCAGGCTGGCTTTGCACCTCTCAACCTCCTGAGTAGCTAGGATTATTGGCATCAGCCATAGATGCCCAGCTTAGATCCTCTTAATGAGCATGGTTTACTCTAGTCCTACAGTTTTATACATGTACATTATGTATGTATGTATGTATGTATGTATGTATGTACTTAAGTGTGTAATATCCATTTGCATACAATGAATATTAAAAACAGGTATCATAAAGAACAACTAATTGTCTAACTTGTTTTTGGACAATGTTACTCATTCCTTTGCTTTCCCTCTCTCATCCCTGCTGTGAGTTACATAGGTCATTTTCCACAGTGTATACCGAATACCATGACTGCATTTGTTCAACCTTCTTCCCTCACTTTCTGCATCTTCTCTAAAAAAGACAAAAACAAAAACAAAAAAACTCAAAAGCAAAAACAAATACCACCACCACAAAGACAAAACAAAACAAAACATCCTTCAATTTCCTGGAATTTGTTTCTTCTAACTTCTGCTGGTTAACTGGAGGTAAGAGTCTTTCAAATTTATTTACCCAGACTGATTTCAAACTGTGATACTCAGATCTCAGCCTCCTGAAGAGTGAGGGATTAGAGGTATGAGCCACTGGTGCTCAGCAGAACTAAACTAAAAAGTTAGGGCTGGTGATGCAGCTCAGTCTTACATGGCATATGGAAGGCCCAGGACTCAGTGTCCAGGAGAGGGGGAAGAGAGCTAGAAGTGGCAAGTGGTAGATTGCTAGCCTTGAACATAAAAGCTCAGGGATAGCATCCAAGCCCTAAATTCAATCCCAAGACTGACATATTAGGAAGGAAAAAAAAAAAAAGGATAGAGAGAATGAATAATGAAGTCCCTGGGTAACAGAGACCACATTCCTCATCAAAATTAAAATCCTGACCAGATATCAAATCTAATTTGTGTTTTAAAATCAATAATATTATGACTTTTTGTTCACTGCAAACTTTTTTAATACAAGAAAAGGCACCAACATTTGCTATCAGTGTTTGAGATTACCTTATCAAATCAACTGTCTAAATACCCTATAGCTCTCACCAAAATGCCTCACAGTCTAATTTACAAAGAATCCTTAGAAATATAAATATGGTCTACTTACTGGGTTTCATGGCATTGGGAGCGCTGGCAGGTGTGTTCCCCCATCCTGTGGTCGATGCGCCCGCATCATCCATTTCGCCCCATCCAGGACTGCTTTCATTCGGCTCACCCCAGGCTGATGTCCCATTATCTGGAGCAGGTGGTGTGCTTTTGCTCCAGACTGTTAAGAAAAAAAAAAAGTGTCTCTTAAGAACAATCAGTTAACATTCAACGGGGTTGAAGGCAGAGTAAACAAGTATCAAATCCTCTTGGCAGAAGCAGAGATTGAACCTTTATGGAGGTTATCAGGCAATGACATTTTTAAAAAGAGTCCAACCCACACCACTTTTGGCCCAGTAACTCTACTACCTGGACATTATACCATCATCTCAAAAAAGATTGGGGCTGGGAAGGTAGCTCAGTGGTAGAGTGCCTGCCTCGCATGCATGAGGCACTATATCAACAGAAAAAGCCGGAAGTGGCGCTGTGGCTCAAGTGGTAGAGTGTTAGCCTTGAGCTGAAGAGCTGAGGGACAGTGCCCAGGCCCTGAGTTCAAGACTCATGACTGACCAAAAAATAAAATAAAATAAATTACATACACAATGTTTACTCTATTGCTGTTAAGAAAAACTGGAAGCACTGCAGACACCATCAGGAGACAGGTTAGTCTAAGCATTGTGGTTTACGCTGGCCTATAAGGCCAGATACTTGGTAAGTAGCGATCATAAGGAATGTGGTTCAAGGCCAGTGTGGGCTAAAAATTATCAAGTCAGCACCACCATCCCAACAGAACCAGATACTTAGAAGATTTAGGAGGATCACAGTCTGAAACCAGTCCAGGCAAAAATGCCTAAGACCCCATCTGAAAAATAACTGAAGCACTGCCGGATGCTGGTAGCTCATACCTATAACCCTAGCTACTCAAGGAGGCAGAAATCTGAGGATTATGCTTTGAAGATAACCCAAGCAGGAAAGTCTGTGAGACTCTTTATCTCTTTACCACCAAAAAAAACCCCAGAAGCAGAGCTGTGTCTCAAATGGTAGAGAGCTAACATTGAGCAAAAAAGCTCAGTTACAGCACCCAGGCCCTGAGCTCAAGCCTCAGGATTGGCACAAAAAAAAGGGAAAAGAACTGTATGTGCTAATATGGATAGTACACGAAGAGCTGGGGGAGAGCTCAGAGGCAGAACACTTGCCAAGCACACAACAGTTCCCTTTGGTGGGGAAAGAGGAGCAACAAGGATGAGCTATGAAGAGAATCAGAATGGAACTTCTTTATTTTTCAATCTAGAGAATAGTATGTTAAGCAAACTTGAATTCTGTAGACCAAAAGAATATGGAAATATAATTCTGGAGCTGGGCATGAGTGGCTCATGCCTATTGTCCTAGCTACTTAGTAGGCTGAGACCTGAGAATTGTGGATCAGGGCAGGAAAGACCTTTGAGACTCTTATCTCCAATTAACTACCCAAACTGCCAGAAGTGGAGCTGTGGTTCAAGTGGTAGAGCGCTAGCTTTGAGCAGATAAAGCTCAGGGACAGCACCCAGGCACACACACACACACAGACACACACACACAGACAAATAGAAAAAATAGAAAAGAGAAATAACTCTGGAGACAAATACAGTGTTAACATTTTTTCCTTTTCCCAAGAAAGAACACCATGAGGTAATACAAGGGCTGCCATTCTTGCATCTTACAGAAAGGCTTTCTTAGCAAGAGTTAAAGATCTGTAGGAGGCCTCCTCAGAAAATAATGCCAAGGTAAATAAATGCACCTCAATAAAAATGTCCTGGAGTGGAATGTCTTCTCTGCACAAAAACCTATGAGACAAAGCACTTGCTTACCTGATGGTGATTTTCCGGTCATGGGGGTGGGCAGGTTTGGTTCTCGAGGTGCTGTGCCACCTTGGGAATTCTTATCCCACAGGTTCACATTCTTGTAGTTGTAACTGTTAGGGTCTCCCCATGCTGAGGTACCATCGTCAATGTCCATCTTTCGACTAATTGACTGTGGGGATGGCTCTTCCCAACCACTGGGTTCCTCATCCTTAGGGGCTGTGGGCTGAGGCCCACTGCTCCAGTTGGAATTGGAAGGTCGAACACTGCCCGGAGGTGGTGGGGGCGGTCCTCCCCATGAACCAGACGCCTCTGGTTGTGGTGGCGGTGGCTGCTGTGGTGGCTGCGGCGGTTGGTGTTGTTTATTCCAGGAATTGGGCTGTCTGCCTGTGTCATTCCATGCGGGGGATCTTTTGCAATCTTCCCACCCACCTTTCGAAGCTAGGCTTGCATTCCCCCCATTACCCCAAGTTCCAATTTCATTCTGTCCTCCTTCACCCCACCCAGACACAGGCTTATTTGCAGTACTTTCCCAATTGCTGCTTTTCGTTTGATCAACTTCCTCTCCCCAACCATTCTTCCCAGAAGTCCACCCTTGATTGGGCTGGCGGCTTCCTCCCCACCCCTGATCCTTGCTGGAATTCTCATTCCAAGAGGAAGGAGTCTTGTCATCTGGTCTTCCTCCTCCCCAGTTAGAAGAGTTGTTGTTCTTATAGTCATTCCAGCCTCCTGTGTTCTTGGGGTCTTTCCATTCTGTAGAGGCTGAGAGCTCCCCCCATCCAGACTTCATTTGATTGCTTTGGCTGGGTGCATCTCCCCAGCCCCCTGAGTTCTTGGTCTGTGTGGCAGCGCTCTCCCACCCCTCAGTTCCTTTGTCCGATTTCCCCTCAAGCCTTGGCACCTCTTCAATATCCCACACTGTGTCCTGCTTAATTTGAGTTTGGCCCCAGCCAGTGTTTGAGAGCACCCTGGGGTCCAAATCAGTTCGGCTCAAAAGAGTCTGCAAGACAGCCTGGCAATCAGGATGTGTAGGCCTGTACGACCGACGGCCAGAATTATGACTGTCGCTACTTCCTGCTTTGTGGTTGCTTCCAGTGCTTTGTCCTCCAACTTCACTTCCTGTGGAGCTGGAAGATCTTCCCCAACAGGGAGCCTGGGCATTGCCTTGGTTTTCAGGGAGGGGGTGGCCCTTTTGATTGTCCCATGCTCCAGTGCTAGAATTTGGTTGGTTTGGACCACTCCATTCTCCAATTTTCAACTCATCAGACCCAGTCGGCTGTTTCCATTCTCCCTGAGAGACCCCAGATGTCATTTTGTTCCCTTCACCCCATTTGTTGTCATTAGAGTCCTGAGGGCCAAAGTTCCAGGACCCACCCGTAGACCTGTTATTATTGTCCCAAGAGTCATTTTTTGACCCACTTGATTTCTGAACAGAAGCTCCTTTCCAGGAGTCCTCTCTCTCTTTTCCATTGTTCCCATTGTTTCCAGAATTACTTTGTCCAGAGACTGTGTCAGTTCCAGAAGGACCCCTAGCTGCACCCCAAGATCCAACACTCCCAGTCTTTCGATCTCCAGTGCTTTGTGAAGGGGCATCAGTGCTCCTGGAGGTGTTCCCCAAGCCCATTCCGAAGGGCATTCCCTTATTCTCCATGGGGTTTGGTGAACTTAAGTTCAAGGAGTTAGTGTTTCCACTTTTTGGTCCATCAGTGTTATGAATTTGAGCCTGTTCTCTGCCAGAGACAACAAAATTAACACCCGCATTTTCCATCTTTGACTGCTGTTCCCTGGATGCCTGACCTACTGTGCTAACCTGTGCACCGGAATTACTGGTATCTGTTTCCAATGCCCCTTTCCTAGAAGTTCCTTCTTGGACCAGTGCTGGCCAGGCAGATGGGTTGCTATTTGGGTTAAAGTTGCTGAAGCCAGAGCCAGGTCCAATTCGATCCTGACCACTCACATTCCTCCAATTTCCTAGTCCATTGTTGCTCTCTGGAGTAGAGTTGGAAGATTGAACAGATTTAGCCTTAGGGTCAGATTTCCAAACCCCAAGATTACATTCGTTCCCAGAACTTGCAGACTGGCACTGGCTCCCTTTGCCTTTGTTACTAGTGGTGCTTCCTGGCAGAGTGCTCTTCTCAGAGCCAGGGTTTGAGGCACTGTTGTTATCGGTGGTGTTTTCGGAAGAAGATTCAGTGTCTTTGCTGGCAATACAAGGCCACTCTTCCATGTCAGACCCGTCTACAATCACCTTGTCCCAGGTGTGAATTGGGTTGGGGGAGGTGCCGTTGTTGGAGGAGGCTCCCGGGCCCCAAGTGGAATTTGCATAATTTGAAGCAGCAGCACCTCCAAGGGTTGACTCTGAAAAAGAGATCATCTGATCAATTATGGCTGCTCAAGCATTACGCTCAATTCCTGGAGCTTATACTGTTCCAGGACGGTTTCACCAAATCTCTCCCTACATTGTCTTCTCTACCCAGTCTCTCATTTTGGATTGTATCACAACTGTTGGTCACCTCTTCTTCACTGGCCCACTGTTCTATTCACTAAGTTGAATTCCACACCATTTAGCAAAACTATCTCCTTGCCATTCCTATTGATGGAGAAAGGATTTTTGCCTCTTAAGACAAATAAAATAGCACTATAAACTTGCTCTCTCTCCCATCTGCTCCTAACACCCCCAACTGAAACAACAATTTTTCTAAAATGCCTTTTGATTCTACCACTGCCATATGTAAGCCTTCACCAGTTTCTTTTTTTTTTAAATAATTTTATTTTTTTTTGTGAACATACTGTACAGAGGGGTTACAATTACATGGGCAAGATAATGCGTATATTGTACATTTCTTATCAAGCATTGCAGCCTCCTCCTTTGTTTACCCTTCACATCCCTTCCCAGCCTCCCCCCCCCCCCCCCCACCAAAGTTGTAAAGCTCGTTTGCCTTCACCAGTTTCTTAGTGCACAAAAATGAAGCTGAACTCCTTGGCTTGCATTTTGATCAAGATATGCCATGACCTTTGTCAAACCTTCCAGTCTAAATTATCTTCTACAACCTTCTATGTAGTCATCTACACTCCACAGCTGTGTCTTCTTACCTTGGCAACATTCCATGACAGCAACTACTGTCTTTTTTCTTTTCCCCTAAATTCACACAGTGAAATTTACTCATCTTTCTGGGTCTAATTCAAGTGCCACTTCTGTGTAGCTGTTTTTGAGCTCCTCATCTGGAATAACTCCCCTTTGTCAATAGTTATTTTCCCCATTGCAATAGCACTATGTTCACATTGCTCCTTCCCCTGGTGGTGCCTCTTTACACATCTCATCCTGCTAATGGGCCAATTCCACACCATCGCCATGCAGTGCTGCTCAGTGCACTTCTGTTGAATGACAGGAGGTCCCAAATGAATAGACTTGCTTTTAAAGGAGCTTAATCGGATCAAACAGTCCAACACAAATATGGGAGTTGAGCCCTATGCCAATTGCTTTAAGGCTGACTTGGGTAGCATAGTTTAATACCAGATTTGGTGAGAAGAAAAATGACTTCTTTCTAATGGTGTCAATGTGAGACTCTGATTTACACTGGACCTATGACTCTGTGTAGTCCCCTCATTGGCTACCAAGGGTTAGGAAGGAAGGGCTGTGTCTACTCTGGGCCTGGTCTGACTGCCACAGAAGCCTCGTGGGGATGGTATGTCTCTGCACAAAGCCTGTGTCACTACTAGGTTTTCTTCCATCCTTACTTTACACACAAGATGGAGACATAATTTTTTTGAGCAATCCACTGTTCAAACTCAGAACTCAAAGCATATAAATTAGTGGAAACCATTAATAAGCTGTCCTTGCCAATGCTCGACCATATTCAAGCTCTGTATTTTAATATAACCTCAAAAGATAAATTGAGAGGCAGGTTGAAATCTATTAATGAACTTAAAAAAAAAAAAAAAAAAAAAACAGGACCTGGAAGTTCTTTGCTTTAGTTGACATAGTTAAGTCATCTTTAAAAACTCAAAACTTCTAGAAGAACACTTCATGTCTACCTTTTAGAGTCTAACCAAACTCAACATGCAGGGGTTTGAAAATCAGAAACACTGATTAAAAAAAAAATTCAGTGGGAAAGAAGGTGCTGGTGGTTCATGCCTATAATCCAGAAACTTAGGAAAATAATGGTCTGAAGTCAAGTAATATTTCCATTCCATCCATAAAGTCCATAAGATACCATTTCCAAAATAACCAGCAAAGAGCTGGGCCAGAGGCATGGGAGAAGACTAGCCAAGCAAGTACCAAGTCTTCAGTTCAAACCCTGGTACCACCACCCCCGCCTCCCGAAAAAAAAAAATCACTACAAAACTAGAATGGTACTGGCCAGATGCCAATGGCTCACACCTATAGCCCAGCTACTCAGGAAGCTGAGATCTGAGGACTGTGGTTCAAAGCCAGTCCAGAAAGCCTGCAGACTCTTATCTCCAATTAACCACCCCAAAAAGCCAGAAGGAGCTGGGGCAGGGAATGTGGCTTAGTGGTAGAGTGCTTTGCCTAGCATGCATGAAACCCTGGGTTCGATTCCTTAGTACCACATAAACAGATTAAGCCAGAAGTGGTGCTGTGGCTCAAGTGGTAGAGCACTAGCCTTGAGCATAGAGAGGCTCAGGCAGAGCCCAGACCCTGAGTTCAAATCCTATGACTGGCACAAACAAAACCAAACCAAAATGGTATTATGTGGTGTCTTCCCATGATTCTATACTGTAATGGAAAAGGTCATTCTTTCTCTGATTGTAGCATTCTGGAAGCATAAGCACAGCATCTGGAGATTCAGAACAGCCTCCATAGGAGCCCTACATCCCCCTTGTTGTTCCCTGAACATAAACCTGTAGAACCACAGAGGACCAGAGAAAAAGGCTCAAAGCATGATGACCCACAGCGGCGACTGCAAGCTGCTCATGCTAGGACACTGTAACCCAGTTTCTAAGAACTCCCCTTTTCACACTGGGATCCTCTCCATCTTATGAATGATCCCAGCAGTCTACCTACATAAGGGATTTGGGGATCTCACACCAGGCAATGCACCAGGCAATGCACAAGGTAAAGCTCTCTTCCTCCATTCAGGGTGGTCCTTACCTGGCGCAGTCCCACTCTCGCTCTGCAGCAGCGTTCCTGTCACTTGTGCGTTGTTTGGGTTTGCTCCAGGTGCTGTGCAGGGAGGAGGCCCCGCCCCGCCCCCGAGGAGCATGCAGGACGGTGGAGGGGGCTGCCCACGTTTTAGTAACACTTTGTGGTCCTGCTGGCAACGGAATCGCGGCGGCACCTCCCGAGGCATGTAGCGGGCGGCGCTTGGCGGCTGTCCGTTCGGCACGGCCACCCTTTTGGCATTGTTGCCACCATTGACTGGTGGCGATGGAGAGCTGCCAATTGGGCTGGCGGCCGTTGGTTGGCTTAAACTTGGTTTCGTCACTTCGGGCACTGAAAGAGAGGTTGGAAAAGTCTTTGAAACCAAGAACATTTTTCTAGAGATTGCTCATATCAGACCCATTCTAACAAGTCCATCTTCCCCGCTGTTCCTGGGGACACACACGGTCTTTCCAAATCGCTGCCGGTATCTTCTGTCAATGGGGGAGGGAGGGATGGAGGCGGAGATGAGGGGTGATGGTGACAAGGATTCAAAGACGACACCATGGAATTACATCCCATTAATTACGGGGAAAAAGAAGCAACCCAGTCAACAAACAGAATTAGTACCCAACAGGGCCACGCCTCCGACTCCGGGCCCCTACCAGTTTCTTCAATGCTAACCTCTGTGAACTTAGTCTGAAGTCTTTGGACTAAGTGAGCCAAGCATGTTTCACCTGTGCTGAGACCATTCTGTGCAATTCATCCATCTACAAAGTTAGATCAAAATGCCCCATTCACACAGAACCCTCTCTCCTTCAAGGACAGAAACCCCTCAGGGCCGGGGAGCAGCACTCATCTTTTTTCCCTGAAAGCCTGGCAAGAGTAGACCCCAACAAAACTCCTCAGGTCTAGACTGTCACTGAATTCAACTTGATTTCCTATAGATGCCTGAACTCAAAGGCTTGCTTGGTCTTCTGCATTAAGTATTAGAAAAATTATGTCTTTCAAGCTTTTGTCAAAAAAAAAAAAAAAAAACACAAAAAGAAAACCCTTTCCTCTTCTTTCTCCTTTCCTTCTTTTCTTGTTCCTTCCTTCCCTCTCATTCCTTCCTTTTCTCCCTTCATACTAAGGATTAAACTTTAAGTACTTTATTACTTGAGTCATGTCCCTAGCTCTTTTGTTTTGTATTTTTGATTTTGAAATTGGGACAGTGTGTGTGGGGGGGGGGGGGGGGCGGGGGGGGAGCGGTTCCTCCAAAATTTTCCCATACTGGTTTCAAATTCAAGATCCTGCTCTGCTCTGCCTCTCTAGTAGCCAGGATTGCAGGCATGCAATACTATGCTCAACTTTCAAATAATACAAAAACTTAACAATTGGATACTTTTTCTATTTAATTGAAATAAGTTGAATTTTACTTCCATTAAAAAATGGTAAATAGCATAGAAATGTGCACAAGAGACTACGAGCTACAAGCTGCCACACCATTTGACTTCCTCCAACCCCTACAGAGAAGATTCTCTTAGAATATGCACTTTCTCCCTTCATCCTACCACAAGACTGTCACCCTTTCCCCAAGAAAATCTGCCTCACAAACGCAGACTTGGAGTATTACAGAACACTGTGAGGTCCAAATTCGCCACCTAGAGTCATGCGGGGGCCAGCCCTGGCAGCAGCACTGCTTCCAATGCTGAAATGCTGAAATGCTGCTGGGCCAGCATGTTGCCATTTAATGCACTCCTTTATGAGCAGAGAGATAATGTCATCAGAAAGCAGGGGGCCTGATCTCTTCTGTCACTGGACACTAGAGAATACTGTTGGTGCCAGCAGTAAAGAGTAGGTATCCAACTTAAGTTCTGGTAACCCATGTCTGATGTCCTAGTAAGGAAGGAGGTGTGTGAGAAGATCCACATAATGACCAGAATGAACAAGGGCCAGAAGCAAATAAATCAGTTATTATCTACTATGAATTAACATAGTACCCTCCTCACTCCTTATAGCAACTGACGGCTTAATAATTGATTGGTAAATGAATAAAGATTAATGATAACACTTTTCTGCTTCGGGAAGATTCCATGGCATTATCAATCCCCTTTCTCTTAGGAGAACGAGCAAGAAGCTGGCAGAAGGCGAGGCACCTGTGGCTCATGCTTATAATCTTAGTGACTCAGGAAGCTGAGATCTGAGGATTGCAGTTTGAAGCCAGCCCCATCAAGAAAGACCATGAGACTCTTTTTTTTTTTTTTTTGCCAGTCATGGGGCTTGAACCTTCTGGGCTTGGGCACTATCCCTCAGCTCTTCAGTTTACCGCTCGAGCCACACAGCGCCACTTCCGGTTTCTAGTGGTTTATTGAAGATAAAGAGTTTCACGGACTTTCCTGCCCAGGCTGGCTTTGAACTGTGATCCTCAGATCTCACCCTCTTGAGTAGCTAGGATTACAGGCGTAAGCTACCGGCACCTGGCTAAGACTCTTATATCTAGTAAAATACTCAGAAAAGGCTAGAAGTGGGGCTGTGGCTCAAGTGTAGAGTGCTTGCCTTGAGAAAAAGAAGTTCAGGGACAGTACCCTGAGTTCAAGCCTCAGGACTAGAATTAAAAAAAGGAGAAGAAAAAGTTGGCAGAGATTGGGTGGATTCTTCCCAACTGGTTTTTAGAAGGAATGAGCTGTGCTTCTGTAAAACTTCCCTTCTATAAAAGAGCCAGAATCCTCACTTTTACTTCACTAGGTTGGCTGCATGCCCACCCCTCCCTCCCCCATTTTCCTTAAAAAAAAAAAAAAAAAAGAGCGGCCTAAAATGATTGAGGTCCAAACTCCAGCTGCAAAAACACTGTATTACACTGCATTATCTCAACCAAGGAAATCTGGTAGGCATGATGTATTGTGCAAAAATTGCTATACGATCTCCTTCAGGGTATTTTCTTACCACCATACCAGGTATAGCCTGGATTGTAAATGATGAAGTCACTTAAAATGGAAATAAATATGCTTCAACCACTTCCCTTCTAAGAGTGTTATCTCAGGAGGCAAGTCATTCAAACTTCCAGGACCCAGTTAGAGAAAAACCTACAGGACTATGTGAGTCACAGGCTAACTGCTTCAGGGCCTGATAGATTTTTATTAGATTTCTTTGATTACACTTTTCAAGGAATTCAAGAACTTTAAGCATTTAAAAAGGTCAAGCAAAATTCTTGTCTGGAGGAACCAGCTATTAGGCAAGAGTTCAAATCAACCCGATTTTACAAGTTCAAAGCTAAAACATCAGAATGATCATGTATATCTCAAACTACTCCAAACTACTGGATGACAATAGAAGAGAAATTATCATCAAATCTGAAAGTGTGCTTTTCAGGCCTGGCCTAGTCTGAATCATAATTTGTAGGTTGTAGTACAAATATTTCCAAAGATGAGTTGCTCATAGTTTTTCATTCTTAAAGAAAAAGTCTGTGGCTTCAACCATGGTCTCTGTACCATAGGGAAGTGAAAAAATTGGGGAAAATGCTATGTATTCTATTTTCTAATTTCTCCTCATGCATAAACTATTTAAATACTCTAATGACTGACTCCCTTTCCTAAATCCTTATCCTTCTATCTTACTTAGAATTTGTCCTTATTTCTGACAGACATCAATAAGACAGTACTTTTTCAGATCAAAGCATTGGGGGGCAGTACAGGAGTCTGAACTCATGGCCTCGTGTTTGCTTGGCTGGCAATCTATTGTTTTAGCCATGCTCCTTATCCAAAAGCATTTAAGAAATTCCTGGAGCAGGTGAACTTCTAAACTGGCTCAACAAACTCAACAATCGAGCTGGACCAATATAAACTACTACTAATCACCTAATGGCACCAACAGGAAAAAAATCATCTAGAAATCTTCTTAAGATTTTAAGGCGCTCATGCCTTCACCACAACACACACTGTCTTTGCCTTCAACAGCACTCTCCTCATTAAGTCACTTTAGTCTAATGGGAAGTGGGCACTATGGATTTGTTCATCTTTACCTTCTGCGTACCTCCTAACACTGCTGGGAATTCCTCTCTCCATTGTGGGGGGGTGGGTGCGCATGCACATGTACATATGCACACACATGCTGGTATTGGAGCTTAAACTCGGCCTCACAGTGTTTCTTAGCTTTTTCCCTTGAGACTGGTATTCTAGGGGCTGGGAAGGTGGCTCAGTGGTAGAGCGCTTGCCTTGCATGCCTGAGGCCCTGGGTTCAATTCCTCAGCACCACATAAGCAAACAGAAAAAAGCTGGAAGTGGCGCTGTGGCTCAAGTGGTAGAGTGCTAGCCTTGAGCTGAAGAGCTGAGGGACAGTGCCCAGGCCTAGAGTTCAGGCCCCACAACCGGACCCCATCCTCCCTAACCCCAAAAAAGAGACTGGTATTCTACAATTTGAGCCACACCTACAGTTCTGGCTTTTTGTTGGCTAACTGGAAATTAGAGTCTCTGGGATTTGGCTGGCTAGCTAGCTGGCTGGCTAGCTTCAAACTTAGATCCTTAGATCTCAGCCTCCTGAGTAGATGTGTGCCCCCAAGTCCAGTCCTCCCTCCATTTTCGTGAGACCCATTCTGGCTAGCTCTTCAGCTCTTGTCTATTCCCTTGTAGACTTCTCCTACCCAGATCAGAGGTCAGCAAACTTTCTGTAAGGGTCCAATAGGAAATATTTAGGTTTTATGGCCATGGGTATTAAATGCAACACTCAATTCTGTACTTACAAAAGAAAAGTAGCCACAGCTATAGGTAGCCAAAAAGCATGGTCATTTTCCAATAAAACTTTACTTATGGGATAAAACAGGAAGTTTTCATTTTCATGTGTCATGAGATACATGGAATAAATCCTAATTCATTGAAAAATATAAAGAACTTTCTTAGCTCATGTGCCTCTAGCCCAGCTGCTGGTTAACTAAGATAAAATCCTGCAGACTTTTCTGCTTAGGCTGGCTTTAAACCAAGGACCTCTAGGTCTCAGCGTCCTAGCGAGGATTATAGGAGTGAGTTACCAATCCTGGCTAACCCCTACTTTCGACTACTCTTTTCTTTTGGGTAGGTCATGGGGCTTAAACTTTAGGTCTGGGCACTCTCCCTGAGCTTTTTCACTCAAAGCTAGTGTTCTCTGAGCCACAGCTCTACTTCCAGTTTCATGGTGCTTAACTGGAGATAAGACGTTCATGGACTTCCGTGCCAAGGCTTGTTCCAAACCATTATCCTCAGATCTCAGTCTCCTGAGTAGCTAGGATTACAAGCATGAGCCACTGGCACAAGGGTTTGACTACTGTGTGTGTGTGTATGTGTGTGTGTGTATTTAAACTTAGTGCCTCATACTTGCTAGGCAGGCCTCTATCAGTGGCCACA